AACTCCATGTTGGTGGCAGGAATCAAACCTGGGTCCTCTGGAGGAACTCCAGGTCTCTTAACCACTAAGCTATTTCTCCAACTTTGAAATTTATAATCTAGAAAAAAGTCCAATTTAAGTGCATTCATTACACATAAGTTATGTTTTGCAAACTTATTTCTGGGAGACAAAATTAAGTTCCAAGTTGCAGGAGCAGTTTGAAACAATAAGTGTATTATTGTATTTCGTGATTTTACGTGCCAAGAATTTAGGCAGGCCTCAGCTGGTTGACTTTTCTGCGCTGAAAGTGTTGACTGAGACTACTTACAGGTAGGTATTCACCTAGTGGGTCCCTCTGGCCTGTGTGTCCAAAAGGGCTTCCCTAACAAGTCTGGTCCCTAGGAAGGCAGAGCTGGAAGGCTGGGATCGTCTGAGACCACTGCCTGGATAGCCTACACAGAACCTTGCTAGCATGGTGCTTTCAGGGGGGCTGGACTTGCTGTGCCATCCAGAGCCACAACAGGAGCATTCCAAGAGATGAGAGCTGATGGCGTGAGCCTTCTTCACAGGCATCTTCAGACGTCATGAAATGTGACGCGCCCTCCGTGCTGAACAAGGGCCGCAGGTGCAGCTTTGATCCTCGGAACGAGATCACACAGAGCCTGGCTTGTTGGAGGGCCAGCCATGAAGACTAAGTTAATCTGTGTAGAGAAAGGCTCCACTCACGTATTCTTCAGGATGTTATGTTGACAAATCACGAACTCAAAGAAACCCATTGTTTCACTTCAGACGCTGTGTTAGGGGAGCAGAGCGAGCCCTCAGTGAGTGTTTAGGCAGGGACGAAGTCCTGAGTGAATGGATACTGACAAGGGCACCCATGTCTCACACCCACAGGGACTGGCCAAGCCTTCCCTGGGTCGGGCTCCTGTGGTCTGTGTGCAAATGTTTACAGGGCTTTCCTCCCCTAGCGTTAACAGCTTGAAACTGTTCCCACACAGAGATCTCCCACAGAGTCCAGCTGACCCCCTTCTCCTGCTGTACACGATAAGGGCATTGTCAGAGAGACACAGCCCAATCACTTCCAGCTTTTCTGTGCATCCTTTCTTCATTCACTACACACCCTAGTCAGGTTTCCAGGACCAAGACACAGGGCTTGGCAACTGTGTAATTGTCATATTTATCTATGGAAGAAGAACGGATTAGAAAGTTTTAAAAGCCAATCTTTTGAGAACTGGAAAGATGTTTCCATGACCAGGAGCATCTGCCACCATTCCAGAGGATGCCGGTTTGGTCCCAGCACCCATGTCAGTTGGCTCACAATCACTTGCAACTCCAACTCCAGGGAATCCTCTGCCCTCAACTCAAATATGCCACGACTTTACTAGCATAATTGTTAATTATCACAAAAGGTTGAGAGAGATCATGGTTTTTTGGTTTTGTTTTGTTTGTTTTTGTTTTTCCAAGACAGGGTTTCTCTGTATAACCACACAGGCTGTCCTGGAACGCACTCTGTAGACAGGCTAGCCTAGAATGCACAGAGATCCGCCTGCCTCGGCATCACTGCTTCTGGCCCCTGACCCCAAACCAGAGGGACAGAGCATTCTTCTCCTTGATTCTGTAAATGACAGGATGTGTCATTTACAGAAAGCAGGCTCCTGCAGGACATTTCCCTTTATGCCTCCTGTGTGTATGAAGCCTGAACTTCCAAAATCTGCTATCCAGGAAGAAGCAGCAAAGTGGGCTGGCTAGTTTCATGTCAACTTGACACGAAAAGTAGAGTTATCTGAAAGGAGGGAAATTTAATCGAGAAAAATGCCTCTGTAAGATCCAAGAGCATTTGGCCCTGCCACAGTGAGTGGAGCCATCTCTGGGTTGGTGGTCCCGGGTTCTGTAAGAAAACAGGCTGGGTAAGCCATGGGAAGCAAGGCAGGAAGCAGCACCCTCCATGGTCTCTGCATCAGCTCCTGCCTCCAGGAACCTGCCCTGACTTCCCAAATAAACTCTTCCGTCCCCAACTTGCTTTCTAGTCATAGTGCCTCATTGCAGCAACAGCAGCCATAACTAAGAACAAGGGTTGACAGGCCAAGGACAGCCTGAGGTCCTTTGCTCCGAGCAGTTCCCCAGAACGTTCCCCCAGGCCCACATCTACCATCTTTGATTCCCACGAAGCCTTCTGAGTCGCTTCGTGGGAATGCTCTTCTGTTTTTTCCTAAAAACACCCTATTACCTTAGTGTAAACCAGAGTTCAGTTCAATGTGGCGTCTTTCCCAACTGTAGCGGCATATGGCTGCTGAAACTCTGCTCAGCACTTTAGGGCTCGGCTTTGCTTACCTGTGATGGAAGGCTAACAGTCAAAGAAACCAATGACGGTATTAGATTTACTCTTGACTTTCTCTTTTGTTTGGTTTATAGCTTGTTTGTTTGTATGTTTAGGATGGGGCATCCCTAGCTGTCTTAGGTGTCCTGGAACTCATCATGTATGACAGGCTGGCCTTGAACTTGCAATCCTTCTAGTACAGCTTTTAAAGCTCTGGATTACAGAAGGGCACACATTTATCTCCTTTTTTTCCTTCAGGGAAGCTGAAAAAAAAGGAGGAGGAGGAAGAGACAATGATACAATGATATATGGTAGGAACCAGGTACTGGAGAATTTGGAATGTAAATAAAAAACTCCCCTTTCATAAGGAGAATTAGGGTGGCTGAAGAGATGGCTCAGAGGTTAAGAGCACTGTCTGCTTTTCCAAAGGTCCTAAGTTCAGTATCCAGTAACCACGCGATGGCTCACAACCATCTATAATGAGATCTGGTGCCCCCTTCTGGTGTGCAGGTGTACCTGCAGATAAAGCACTCATACATAAAATAAATCCCCCAAAAAAAGTTGTCTCAAAAGGAGAACTAGTTCCTTTTGAAATTAGAGATAAAGATGAATGACAGGATATAGATAAGATGAAGAAATCAGGGGCTAGAGAGATGGCTCAGTGATTAAGAGCACTGCCTGCCCTTTCAAAGGACCCAGGTTCAATTCCCAGCACCCACATGGCAGTTCACAACTGTCTGTAATGCCAATTCCAAGGGATCTGACCCTTCACAGTAAATAAATAAAATAAAAGTAAAAAAAAAAAGATGAAGAAATCAGATGAAAAATAATAGGACTGAAGAGGCAAGAAAGTAAAAATCTTAGTAGGCTGGAAAATAATAGACATACAAACAGAGCAGTAAGGCATCTCTCAAGGACATAAAGTGTATGTCCATATGTCCATGATCCATAAACCATTATGGCAATTCCTGCTTACACTAACTCTCGACTTATTGAAAAGCTTTGCTCTCGAAAATCATAGACCACGGAAACCATGGCTCCAAATATCAGTCAAAAGAACACCTTCCACTCACCGTGAGAGGACGACATAAAGTCCATTTTGTCTGCATTTTAGGACCAGTCCTGACTTTAAAAGAAAAGTCTTCAGGCGCAGGAACTAGGCCATAGGTCACCAATTCCAGGAACAAGACCATAAAATCCCTTACCCAAGGAACAGCTTGGGGATAACCACAGGATTGGGAAAATATCTTGTCTCGGGATGGAGTATCTGTGCCCACAGCCTTACCTCATCCTGTAGTTAAACATTCATGGCACAGGAATGCAGCCCACCGACCACCTGGAAGCAAGCCAATTAGGAATTGACCCTTGTAACTTCCCGCACCCACCAATGAGGTTTTAGATTACCTACCCTTGCTAGAATTCCCCTAGTTTCCTATAAAAAGGCCTGTGTGCCTTTGTCTGGGGTCGACATTTTGTGAAATGGTTTGACCCCTGTATGCAGGTTTTCCTGAGATAAAACACCCTTGCCAAGTGAGTATGTGAGCGGCGCTCTCCGTGCGGTGACTTCGGACTTAACAAGGTCTGGAGGATAGAAACAGCCAGTGTGGAAAACAGAAGAAAGGAGTCTTAACGTCACTGAAGGTTTCCTGTGCAGCACCTCAGAGGCTTTTCCAAGTAGAGTTTTTGCGGTATTCATCTTCTGAAAAGGGAATGCTAAGTCATTTGCTTGTTTTTTTGCAGTGCAAGGAGTGGTCCAAGCCACAGCCCTTCTAAGCAAGCTACAACTCCCGCCCCCGGAGCGGTTTCCTTAAGATACGTAATCCACTCCACTCGTTACACTAGGTCAGTGGTTCTCAACCTTCCTAAAGCTGAAACACTGTAATACAGCACCTCATGTTGTGGTGATCCCCAAGCATAAAAATACTATGCTGCCGCTTCATGACTGTAACGTTGCTACTCCCAAAGAGGTTGTAACCACAGGTCTTCAGCTACAGGTTTCTTTGCGGTAGTGTGGCAGCTGAGTTGTTACCCGGTGGCTGGGGAAGGGGGACCTCAGATTCATCAAATTCCTTTGGGATGCTGCTGCGTCACCTGTCACCTGTGTGACTGCCAAGCCCTGGGCAGCTGAAGGTGGGTGTGTATGGGGGTGGGGAAGGTATCCTTCCATTCTTCCACCCCACCCATCTGTTCCACATCTTCTGGGAAACTTTTTTCATTACTTGAAAGAATCTTCCTCTTATTGTGTCTTTCCAACCAATTCTGAACAAAGCTCGCAAGCGCGGGGCGGGGCGGGGCGGGGCGCTGCTGAACCCCGGCCATGCCCCTCCCTTAATTCAAATCTCCCCCATTTTGGCAAAGCGATCTAAAAAAGAAACCAAATCAAACCAACGGTACATCAGTAATCACTTTTCTTCTAAGGCCAAAACGCAAGCAAACTGTTCCTTTTGGGCACCTGATGTTATACTAAACTGAACACCACCATTACTGGCTCTAACAAACGTCTCCAAAGAAGACCAGCGGGCCTGAGTTCCAGGGAACTCCGCAGGGGCCTGGGCGCTCCCCAACTCGCAAGCAAACTCCGTCTGAGCCCGAAACCGGCAGCGGGGTGGAGCCTGCGGCCCGGCGCGGGCGGTGATTGGCTGCTCGGCGTCGCCCCGCGCCTGCGCATGCCCCTCCCGCCCGCCCATCCCGCCGCCGATCTGGGGACTCCGGCCTTCGGAGCGTTCGCGCGTCGGCGGGTCCGGAGGCCGGCGAGCGGCCGCGGCGGGCGAGTGGCCGGACGGTCGGCCCGGCTGCCCCTCCCGGGAAGGCGCGAAGGAGTCGCTCTCCGGTCCCCGCAGCCCGCGGCGGCCGGTGGGGGAGACGCCGGGGAGCTCCGAGGCGCCGCGGCCGCCATGATGGGGCGGAAGTGACCGCGGGCTGCCGGCGAGAGCGCTTCGGTCTCGCTGCCCGGCGCTGCCCGGGGCGCGCGGCGCGGCGGAGCCCGGCCCGCCCGGCCCTCGCCAGCCCTGCCCGTCGGCCCCCGCCGCTTCCCCCGAGACTGAGCGGCGGGGAGTGGCCCCGGGCCTGCCGTCGCGGCTGCCGGAAAGATGGCGGACCCGGCGGAGTGCAACATCAAAGTGATGTGTCGCTTCAGACCTCTCAACGAGTCCGAGGTGAACCGAGGCGACAAGTACATCGCCAAGTTCCAGGGAGAGGACACGGTGATGATCGCGGTGAGTGGTCACGCGGGCGCGGCCGTTCGCGGGGCAGCGCCTGCTCTTCCGAGCCGGCCCTGCGGGGTCAAAGGCCAGGGAGGACCGAACGCTGTGCGGGCGACTTCCGAAGGTTCGAGGCTCGCCTCCCTCGCCAACCCCGAGCTCCGGCGGCGGGGAGGTGCCTGCTCTGGCCGCCTGGACACTCCCCTACCTGGGGCTCTGGAGGCTTCGTCCCAGGAGCTGGTTCAGTGCGCTGTGTGCGTGTGTGTGTGTGTGTGTGTGTGTGTGTGTGTGTGTGTGTGCGTGCGCGCGCGCGTCTGTCTGTCCGTGTTTATTGTTCCTGATGCAGTTGGTGTCGTGGACTATCTTCAGATTGTGCACAGTTGAGAGTTCATCCAGAACGCTGAGCTGTACAGTACGGGAAATAATGGCTACTTTTTTTAAAGAGGAACATTCTGCTGGAAGTGAATCCCGGGGGAAGAGGAAAAGCAACTACAGTATGCTTGTTCCTCAAGTGTTCACCCTCTTGACTTTTCATGTTAACAGTTATAAGTGGGGAACTAGGGCCCGTAAAAAGAATTACTGGCTTTTCTGTGAAATTAGAGTAATCATGTCTAATGTTGTAGTAGATAGAAGTGGGTTCAGATTGGGCCAAAAAAGTGTCAGAAAGATCGAGAATGTCACCCTCGCTGGGTTTTGATAGTGCAGGAAAGAAAGCTATCAGTGAGACAGGGTGTCGTGGTAAGGACCTTAGGGGAGGATCGCTGTTATTAGGTTCGTATTAATACAGATACAGTCTTTTGAAGAAAATTGATCGTGGTAATCTGAGAGTTAGTAAATACTCCTTTGTACTGTACAGTGTAACTGAGTTGATTGATTGTTAGAGAGACCCAGAGTGAGGATATTTTTATATATATTTAGCCCAACAGGTTCTCAGGAAACAGCATTTTGAGTTCAAGAAGATTAAAAGTGAATAAGATTGCCCTGCAAGCTAAACTGAAAAGTAAACTCTTCATTACCCATGATGCTGTGTGCCTTGCTACTGTGATTTAATGTTTCTTTTTGAGACAGAACTTCACTGTGTAACTGCTCTGGCTGTGCAGCAACCCACTCTGTAGAACAGGCTGGCCTTGCACTCATGAAGATCTGCCTGTCTCTGCCTCCCAAGTTCTGGGACTAAAGGCGTGCACCACCACAGTCAGGCCTAGGATTCCATTTTTATGTCAGCTTTTACTCGAAATTGTTTATTCTTGATTGAAGGTCTATATTTAGTATATTGTTTGGGCTACTTAATTTAGAAATAGGGCAGAGAGGTCATAGGAGACCAGCCATTGATGGTTGAAAGCACTGGCCTGAAGATAGTGGTAAAGTTCTCTGGTGGCTGTGCAAATGTGAAGGTCTCCAAAGTCCAGTTTTGGAGATTGAATATGTTAATACCACATCCTCTTGGTAGGCTTTTGGCAGAAAAGAAAAACAGAAACCCGTCAGGTCACTAACAGATTCCAACAACTGCTGTGTGGAGACTGTGGGGTCGGTTCTTTGTTAGTAAGTCTGCAGGGTGCTCTTGCTATAGATGATGTCATAGGACAGAAGGGAAGTTAGGCAGAGGAAGAGGGTGGGGCGGAGGGGCGGGTTAGTGTTGTGCCTGCAGTCAATAGCAGCTTTACTTCCAGGATTAGTTAGCAAACCTGAGGCTGCAGGTTCCTTAGGAGCTGTGTTGGCAGCTTCAGCAGTGATTTATACAGTAGAGATGTAGTTCATTTTCCACTTGTATTAAGACGGTCTTAATTCTCTTGAGTTTTTTGCGCGTTCAAACAAATCTACAAATATCACAAAGATTATTTTGCTTGGAACACCAAAATTTAGAATTTAAAAATGTATTAAGTTCTGGTGCCTTACACAGCTGTAATCACATACTCGTGTGTGAAACAGGATTGTGGCCAGCTGCATTTTGAGAAACTGGGGATTTTTGTTTAAACTGTTTGCTTTTTTAAAAGCCGTATGTGGTAGCTCACGGCCTTAATCCCAGCACTCTAGAATCTGATGCAGGAGGATCACTAGTTTATCCTAGGCTATAAATCATGACCCGGCTTTTCTCTACCCCCAAAGAAGAGAAAGAGAGAGAAATTAAGTTAGAAAGTGATTTTCTAGTGTAGGACAAATATGACATATATACATGTAACAAAAGATAGCTATCATTACAAAAAAAGATATTCTAGTCTTTCTTTCCTCTGGGAAAAGTTGTTCATAATTTCTGTTTCATAGTTTCTTTACGTAAAACAGATAAGTCTAAGTGATGACTAGAAACCTTGGATAAATGGTGAATAAAAGTATTGGGAAAAGTACACTGTAAAACCAAGGAAACATTAAGGACACAGAGAGGATATTTTAAAATGTTTTATTCATTGTTTAGGAACTGATTTCTTATATAGAGTAACTATGTTAATATGCTGGGGTCTTTGTATTCAATTTCTTAGTGAATTGTATTTTTAAAGCCTATTTGGGAAATCAGTACAGGATTTAAGGAATGAAATGGAGGCCTCTATGCCAAAGAACCAGATTGAAAAATAATTATAAAATATCTTTTATTTCATTCATTTTATTGGCTCCTGAACCTCATAAATTAGAAAAATAGTTTAGGAGAGAACTGTAGTAGCATGACATGTAAAACTAAATTATTTAAAATAGGCTGTTTAAGTATTTTGTTCTGTCTTAAATCAAAATCTAAAACCTAAATGTGTTCATTTATAATGTCAACTGATGGTAATCATAATCACTATTCATATAGGAAATAATTAAGAATTCTGCTTTCTTTTAAGCTTAACTTTTAATATTTGATCCAAAATTTTTCTTGTTATCTTCAGAATCAATAATTTTAATATGACATTTTAAACTCACACACAAGTATGTGATTACAGCAGTGTAAGGCACTAGAACTTAATACATTTTTAAATTCTAAATTTTGGTATTCCAAGCAAAACAATCTTTGTGATATTTGTAGATTTGTTTGAGTGTGCACAAAAACTCAAGCAACCCTTTTGATTTTATAGTGTTGTATATGGTTTGTGTAGCTTTTAGTTTTGTTACATAAATGCTTGGTAAAGCGCCATAAATACCACACTGAGTGAAACAAATTATTCCCTGAAAATCTTTAAACAATACAAAATAGCCTATTTGAGTTAGCTTACAAAAGAGAGAGAGAGAGAGAGAGAGAGAGAGATCCATTTGTTCCACTGCACTTGCTGAAAACCCCAAAGCTAAAAAACCTGTAGAAGTTATATCTTCATCTGGGTGTGCAGGGTTGAATGTCTCTAATCGTAACTCCTTATATGGTATATTGTTCAGGCTGCCAGAATCTCAGCCAGCCTGCTGTAATTCATTGACATCAGAAGAGAATTAAAACTAATTAGATTATCTCTCCTGTTTCCTTGCCTCAAGCAAAACACAACGTGCACTTACAAGTCAATACTGGTTTGATGTACTTGATTGCTTTGAATGAAAGTTGAAAGAGAGGAAGGAGCCACCCTCCCCTCAGTGTCTAAGGAAAATCCAGTGCACCCTGCAGTCTGAAAGATCTCTGCTCAGAATTCCTGTCAGTAGCCTATCCCTGCCTCATGACCAAATTTGGTTTGATCTGTGTAATTGCATATGGCAGTCATTCAAGAACTCTAAGGTACAATGTAGTTCAGTTACAATCATTCCTTGGATTTATCCCCTTAAAGGCTAAGTCAGTTATGGATGCAGCTTATGACTTAGAATTTGTAAAATAGAGTAATTTGAAAAACAACATAAAATAATAGGTTGTGTAATGAATATTTGAAGTCAAAGCAGTGAATTGAAAAACAATTAAGACCAGAGGTATAAGTTTCCTTTGTTTATATATTCATAAGATTGGGATGTATCTTAATTACAAATTGTTCACTTGCAAGGTCTTGATTTCCAAGGAAGGCAGATTCCGTTAGTGACTTGAGACGGTATCTTTAATGGCAACATTTGCCTTACATAGTAAAATTGATGGTTTATTATTTTACTGTGTGTGTGTGCATGTATGCAGGTACCCACTGAGGCCAGGAGAGGGCATCAGTTCCCCAGGAGTTAGAGTCTGACGTGGGTGTTAGGAACAGAACTTAGGTCCTCTAGAAGAACAGTGGGAGTTCTTAACTCCTGATTGATCTCTCCAGTCCCAGAACTAACGCCGTTGAGCTGCAATCCAAAAAGAATGTTTTGTCAAACGAGTGAAATAACAAATGGTCTTTTAAAAAACCTGCACCTATGGGATTGAATTAAGTGCCAGTAGCATCTTAGCAAAGGATACTTTCAGAATAAAAGTGTACCAGTTTCAAAATTGACAACCTTTTGAAATTGATGTCCAGGGGAAGTCATTCTTGCTACACTTCTAGCTGCTGAGGGAAAACAACTGGGGCTTAAGTAAAGAAAGGGTTATTTTTCTCATAACATAGAGACTTTAGAAACAGGCTTGTATTGCTGCTGCTTCCAAGACCCCGACTGTTACAGTCTGTCATGCTTAGTTACTTACCATTGATTATAATACATTTGCAAGATGGATGCTACAGGTCCAGATTTTATTCCAAGAAGAAGAAAGCAGATCCAACTGGGTGCTCCTTATCAGTGAAGTGCGACCTTCCCAGAGGCCTACCACCTGATAACCACTTGGTATGGTGCAGAACTAGCTCATCTGCCCCCCACAGTGGCAAGGGCACTAGACTTGAAGGAAGGAGCAGGAAAGAGAAGGTTTGGGATAGTAGCCCTAAGAACAGGGCTTCTTCAACTTTAACACTTGCCTAAGAGAGTCTTACACTACTTATGGTATGCTGGTTTATAAAACAGAGGAAATATTGGACATTTACTGATAATCATAAAGTGATTGTAAGATATTCCCTTGATACCACTTATTAAAAATGATGACAGTTTTACATGTTAGGAGACGGGTGTGCTTGTTTACTTTTAGTAAGGAATTAAGTCAGGCGACTACTTGACACTGAAGAGTTAGAGCATCTTCAGTGGTTGGAAGACTCAGCTCCTTCACGTTGGCCTGATTGTGTGTGTGTGTGTGTGTGTGTGTGTGTGTGTGTGTGTATGCACAGATAAAAAATGTAATTTAATTTTTTAATCAAAAGAATCAGAATATAAAATGTATGTACCTCAAGGAAAGGTAGCTATGAACTGAAAAATAGCCAGTTAACAAAGGTCAGGTTAGTGTCAGGGGTGTGGGTCAGTGATAGAGCATCGGCTTCAAAGGTTGGGTTGTAATAGGTTGAAAAGAATGAGAAGCAGTCAAGTCGAGCACAAAGCTTGTCAGTGGGTCTAAGAAGATTTGGTTTTTAAGATGGCTTGAACACTGTAGAAGCAGTGTAGAGGTCCTCTAAAGACCAGGAAAAGAGGAGCGGAACATCTGACCATACGTCTGCCTGCGCCTCTTTCTCTAAAGGACAATGTTGGATGCCAAAATGTACAGTGCTCACGACTCTAGGGGAAAATGATCTTAACATTCTAGAGTGCTCACTAGGCCTCCTACCTCACGTGAGTACCAGGGGTTGGACTTGTGTCACCAGGCTTAGCGGCTTTTACTCACTGAGCCATCTCACTAGCCCCCATATTCCAAGCTTTAAAATCTTCTGTGCCTCTGGCTCTTAGACTGTCAAGTGTTTTTCCAGGTTTAGTTTCTGTGGTCTCTATGTTCTCTAAGGAATCCATAGAGTTCAAAGGACTGTCAAAATACAATGCCATTTTCACTGTATTAGCATTGCTCCCGCCCATTGGACCTGACTTCTTTTGTTTCTTGACTGGTCAAGCTTTTTTGACCGCAAGCTCTAGCATCTTGTTATCAGTGCCTGCAGCCCTTTCCTCAGCCCAACCCCAATGGCTTTGTGGCCGGTACTGAAGAGTCAGGTACTTTCTTGGACTGTCTGAAGGTCTTCTCCTTTCTATACTCTTTCAGGGCTCAGTTAAGCTGTAGTCACTAAATTATGTCATGTGTTATTTAAGCTCCACTAAAACAGAATCTGTCTTGGTCAACACAGCATCTGCATTCCATAAATATTTATTAAATGACTGAATGGAGTTATTGAAAGAGGACCGAATTTTAATTGACAGAAGTGCCTGTTTTAATTTTGTCATTAACAACAGTTTTTGTGCCTGTCATTATATTTTTCTTATTTATAAAGTAATATTAGTATTGAAAGTGGACGCTGGTCCTGGTGGCAAAGGCCTGAAATCCAAGCTACTTTGGGAGTTGGAGCCAAAAGAATCTCATGTTCAGGGACAACTTGGACAATTTAGTGAAACCCAAAACAAAAATGCTTTTAAAAAAGTTGAGGAAGGCTGGGCTAGAAAAGGTTGAGCGATATGGACAGCAGGTGAGGTTGAAGGGATAGAGAAAGAAAACAATCTCAGCTTGTCAGAATAGACCTGGGGGTACAACAGGAGCAAGAGCAGAAGTCCTTCTTTTCCTGGAGCTGGTGTTCGGAGGTCTCCTACCCTCAAGACGCACAGAAGCTGTACTGGTTTAACGTTAAAGAAGGCCATGCTATTTTTCAGTGTCAAAATGTCCACTCATCTCTGATTTGTGTAACACTTTGTTTTCATTTTCCAGTCCAAGCCTTATGCATTTGATCGTGTGTTCCAGTCAAGCACATCTCAAGAACAAGTATACAATGATTGTGCAAAAAAGATTGTTAAAGGTAAATATACTTAACTTGTAAACTCAGTTTGCTTTCTGTCTCAGCAATAAGTGAGATTTGGTTTGTGGTCTTTCTCAGTTAGCCAGCATTGTTTTTTTTTCTTTTTAATGCCCCCTCTCTCTTACGTTAATGAGAAGAAAGTTAAAGGAACAAAAATATGAGTATAAATAGTGAACATTTTTCAGTTACCATGATCTTATAGATTGTGCCTAGTGAAGGCTGTTACCGGGAATATATTACAAGCATGTTCTTGAAAAGTGAGCTTCTGTCCACTGTTCATGGGAGAGTTTCCAAGGTAGTATTGTAGAAGTGGAATGGTGTGAGAATGGAGTGACTAGATACATTTCTAAAAGTAGAAAATGTCTCCCCCTCCCCCCCACTCCATTGTTCCTTCCTCAGAGGCTTAACTTACATTAGAAAAGCCCTGGAGGAATTAGGGATTGCCAAGGAATAAAAAAACGTGACACTTGCTGGAATATTTTTTAGTTTTATATTTTCTAAAACCTTACTCTGATAGCAGAGAGGGTGCTAAATGGTTAGCTGGAATTCATGTTTACTGGAAAAATGCCTTTTAATCAAAGGGCTCTTATAGTTCAGTAGCTGTTTGTGATTATTATATTTGCTGACAGTTCTAAAAATGCTCCTTAGTTTGAAGCACAAATCTTAGGATATTTACTAGACATGTTGGGCTTCACTATGAAAATGACTGAGTAAGGGCAGGCATGGTGGCGCAGGTCCTTAAACCCAGGACTTGGAAAGCAGAGGCAGGCCAATCTCTGTGAGCTCAAGGCTGGCCTGGTCTACATAGTAAGTTCCAGTCCAGACCACGTCTACACAGTGAGACCCTGTCTCAAAAAAAGCAGATGAGTCAGAATTAAGGAGCAGAGGTAGTACATTTTAATGACAAGATAAAAGCAGGTATATACATGTGAGGGGGAGGACTGTAGACACTGCACACTAATTACATCTTGTGAGTTGAGTGTGAGACATCACTGAGTGAGGAATGGGGAGGTGGTTCTAGCAGTGGGTGTGAAATGGGTAGACGGGGCACATGGAAGCATTGCTAGGCAGCGTGAAGGGCTTAGTTGAAGTTAGCTTCCCAGACCTCCCATTTGGAGTTTCACCAGCAGGTACAAAAGACTGATTAAGGACAAGAGAAATGATGGTATTGTCGATGAGATATTTATAGTGGTGAACCATGGTACCTGCAGGAAGTTAGAGCGTACGAGACCTTGGAAGCCAGTAAAAAAGATGTAGGGTTAGTGGGCCAACTGGATAGGGCTGTAATCTCAGCTCTCCAAAGGAAGAGGCAGGTAGATTACCACAAGTGTGAGGGCAGCCCGGGCTACTGAAGGAGTTCCAGGCCAGCCAGGGCTACATATTAAGACCCTGTCTCTAAAACCAAAACAAACTGATAAAAAGGTTAGTAGTTGATTTCCAGAAGACAAAAAATTCCTGAAGTAATAGTCAGAAGTAATAGAAGGTGGAGATTTTAAGTTAAGATCATGAAGACAGTGTGTAAAGTTAAGATCATGGAGGCGGTGTGGTTAGCTAATAGTGAACACTAAGGGTTACACTGTGGAAGTGGCAGTCACATGAAGTACCTGAGAGGGAAGTCAGGTCTCAGTCAGGCCAGATACTACAGGACTTTCAATCTGCCAGGAGTAGAGCAGGAGCAGTGTTGGTGAGGGACAGTGTTCATTAAATGAGGGAGAGTTAACTTGTCACTCCCTGACTGAAATAGAGAGGAACAGTGGTGTAATTCTGTTAGAAGCGTCAATTATTTGTCCTTAAAGATTCTGTTATGGAGTATGATTATATTACATTCCCGGTGACGACTTGTGTGAGTATGTCTGTCTGTGGAGGTCAGAGGTTAACCTCAGATAGCTTCTCAGTTGCTTTTAAAAGTTTACGTGCATGTTTGTGTCTGTGTCTGTTTGAATATATGCTATGTACAGTGCTCACAGAGGCTGGAAGGGACAGTTAGGTTCTGTAGTGAAGCTTTGCGTTCTTTGTAAACTCAGAGATGTCATGTAAATATGCTTTTGCTTTCAAACCCCAAGCGAGGGCTTTTAGTTGGGCTGTAGTTTGTCCACAGCTGTTAACTGTCACGTTCCTGGGGGTGGTCTTTTCCAGCTGGGAGAGGGGCGTCGTCTAGGACTCAGAGGGTGTAACTCTGAGGCCTAGAAGGAGAAGGGTGGCCTTTGGTGTTGGCATGCGGCGTGAAGCAGTTTGGAGAGACCAGAGAGACAGATGCTGTGGTGGTTTGAGCAGACAAACGGAGAGAAACACTTTGGGGCAGAGCAGCATGGAGGAGCCCGTTGGCTTTGTCTGCGGTTGATGGAGATTGGTACAGAGCCCTCAAAGAACTCCGTGACCATAAACAGCCCGGAGAAGTAAAGGGGTCTGGCCCCTCTCCCCACTAACCTTTTCTCTCTCTTACTTAAGGTTGGGGGATTTGAAGGGAGGTAGCTTCCCCAACACCCTGAATAAAGTAGAGTTTTTAAAAAGAGCGCTATGGGTTCCTTGGAACTGGAGTTACAGGCAGTTGTGAGGCACTGCGCACGGGTGCTGGGGCAAACCTGGTCCTCTGCCCCAGCAAGTGCCCTCACTGAGCCGTCTCCAGCCTCCTGCTTCTTTGAGACGAACTCTCAGAACCTAGAGTATCCCTGGTTAGGCTAGGCTGTCTTGCTTCCTGCTCCCCAGAACTGGCATTATGGGCACAAACACCCTGCCTGCGACAGCATGCCTTTCCCATTGAGCCCTGTCTCCACCCCTACTTAAAAATGAGTGCAGTGTAATATTATGTAGCTTGTTTCCTAAGTGCTGGAGGTGAAGCCCGAGTGCTGTCCACATGATAGGCAACTGCTCCACCATTGACATTCCTGCCTTTTAAATGAGATTGAGCCCATGAACTCATGGTCGGTTTAAATGGACAAGTCTTTTAACATGTGCTAGGCTATGGTTCAGTCGTGTTCATACTTGCACATCAGAGAAAAAAACCTTTTAAGTGCTGATTTCAATTCAGGTCTTAGTCATATTTTAGTTTTGATTTTGTTGGTACCTTTTTAGGGATCTGAGTTGTTTAGGCTGGTTTGAAACTTACTCAGTGGCCCAGGACACACCTTACATTGTACCATCTTGCCTCAGCTTCCATTGTATCTGGGTTTACAGACCTGTCCAATTAAATCTGATAAAAGAAATACTTTCTGTAGCTGTCTTCCTGTTTCTCACAAAACAAGATTACATTATAAAAGGGAAGGGAAACATTTCAGAAAGATGCTGTGTATTAGTAATGGTCATAGTCATTGACCAAGATTGAGTCCTGCACTGTTACTCATAGGAATTACGAGGCTGATGAGAAAATGTACAGTAGAACCCAGTGACGAGTATGAGTGAATGCATACACTGTGAGCATGGGACTTAACCTGGACTTGCTTGCAGTGGTCTGCAACCTACAGTCTTTTACAGGGAGGAGAAGAGCAGGGGTGTCTTTGGGGCAGAGAGCTCACGCCTACCCTTAGGCAAATCCATATGGAAACAGCGCTGCTCATGTGGGAAACTCAATGATGTATTGTGGGCTTGATGGATTTGACTGTTTTCACCAGAGCAGCAAAGTGAGGGAAGGCTGGTAGGGAGGTAAGACAAATAAGAACCAGGGCAGGTCAAATCTCATGTGATTTATACCCAGTTTATGTGATTGCTGGGGTGTGTTTTCCAAGATTTTAAAGCACAGTGTAAGAGATTTGCATTTTACTTACACACCAGCTTTTACCTTAAAAGGAAAATGAAAATGACTGAATTCTAGTTACTATACATCCTGATGATGTTAGGTAGAAAAGCCCTGAAGTGTGTAGACACCTGCAGTTTATCTTGAAATGCATGTGGAGGTAGAGTGAGCAGGTGCGTGACAAACAGTGAAATCATGTTAGTGACAGGATCTTGGTCATAGGAGTATTCACCACAGAGCTCATTGAAGTGTATTGAAAAATGTGAAGAGTGTATTGAAAAATGGTGCCAGTGAAATTATAAAAAGCAAAGTCTTAGATTTGAAGGTAAGAAAAGATTACAGTTAACTATAAGCCTGCCAACCTCAGGTAAAAGTCTTTGAAAAATAAAATTATGTCATATCAAACATATACCCCCCGTGCGCCCACCAAGTCACAGTTCACTAAACAACATGGTGTAATAGGTTGTTACAGCACTGGCCTTGCTTTTGAAGGGAATTGAGAGATGATTTAAGGATTGCAGAGACTGTGTGCAGACATACCATTTTATGTAAGATATTTGAGTGCCTATGCATTTTGGAAGCTGAGGGGTCCTCGTGATACTGCTTCTAGCTGTTAAAAATGCCATATTTACTTTAATACAATTTTAGCATTTGTTGTCTTTTCCTCACCCCAGACAACATGGATGATAGTGGGTGCTTAGTAAATATTTCCACATTGTGTAGTTCAGTCTCTGTAATTATATAAAACTTTAACAGTTATGCTTTGAGTTTCAGGTGTGTTATATGTGTGCATTTATTGCTCCAGTATTAGACAACTGTATGTAGTCTGGCAAATGTACTATACAGACAACTACTTACAAATAGTTAATTAGTACCGATTGTCAAAATTCTATTTTTATTACTTAAAAATGTTTAATGTGTTTGGGTGTATTGCTTGCGTGTATGACTGAACCCTTGTGCGCCAGAAGGCATTGGATCCTCTGTAACTGCAATTAAAATTGTGAGCCACTATGTAGGTGCTGGGAATTGAACTCTAGGTCCTGGAAGAGCAGCCAGTACTCTAACTGCTGAGCCACTTCTCCAGCCCCAGAAAGGACCTTTTTGAAAGATTTCTCAGAACATTGAATTGTATGCTTAGGTCTGTGTGATTGGTTGAAAGCTCTTGAGCAAGGGAGTTTGACATAGACTACTGAGAATGGTTATGTATATGAAGAGAGGTGGCTCCGTCAGGCCCTGTTTGCCTGCTTCTTTAGAATTGCTAGCAATTCTAAAGTTGATGTGATCTCGTGTATTGTAAATGTGACTCAGATTATTTTGTCCCCCTTAAAAACAAAAGATTTTTACAGCCCAGAGTGGCCTTGAACTTGTGGTTCTCTGTGCTGAGATAGATGGATGGGGAGAACAGGAGCTAGGAGCCATCACAGCAGGCTGTAGTGTCTTCTTTCAGTTAATGGTGTTTCTGTGTGCACACTCTTGGTACTTCATTTCCTTTCCAAAGATCAATAGGAATAGCTAGGGGCTCCCAGCATCTCTGTAGCAGAGTGCTTATCTAGCCTGGGCAAGGCCTTGTTTCAGCCCCGTGCCCCCTGCTTTTATTGTCCATTTCCAGAAGACTTTTTTTTTTTTTTTTTTTTTGAAACAGGGTCTCTTCCTCCCCCTCCCCTCTCCCTCCACCTCCTTCTCCCTACTCCTTCCTCCTTTCCCTCCCTCACCTCTCTCTCCTAGACCTGGCTGACCTGGAACTTAGAAGCTAGTCTCAGATTCACAAAGCTCTGCCTTCCTCTGTTCCCTAAGGGGCAGGGTTAAAGATGTGCACTACCTTGCTGGTCAGAGTCTTTTTTATCTTGACTTCTAACGGAACATAATTTTATATTGTCTTTTTTTTTTTTTTTTTTTTTTTGGCACCAAAAATCAACTTAAAATTCATGAAAATTGGATGTCAAAAGGTGACTCTGATAATAAGATTTATTTATTTATTTTAAGTGTATGAATGCTCTATCTGCATGTACACCTGCATACCAGAAGAGGGCACCAGATCTCATTATAGGTGGTTGTGAGCCACCATGTGGTTGCTGGGAATTGAACTCAGGACCTCTTAACCGATGAGCCATCTCTGCAGCCCCATCCCTGATAATTCTTTTTTCCCCTTTAACCCCTCCATCTTTTTTAAGACTCTTGCATATTAACGATCCTGGTGTACCCAAGGACTAGAAGAGGTGCTTTAATAATTACTTAGCAAAACTGAATTTGGGGTAGTATCCTGGTCACTGTTGTATGATACACCACGACCATGGCAACTCATATAAAGCAAGCATTCGATTGGAGGCTTGCTTACAGTGCAGAGGTTAGTCCCTTATCCTTGTGGCTGGGAACATAGCTGCACACAAAGATGGCCTGGTCTGGGAAAGGAGCCGAGAGGTCATTACATCCTGATCTGCAGGCACACGCTGGGCCTGGCTTCAACTTTTGAAACTTCAAAGCCTACCCCTAGTGACAAACCTCCTGCAAGGTCACATGTCCTTCTGATTCTTACCAAGCGACTCAGAAACTGGAGACTAAGCATGCAGATATATGAGCCTATAGGGCCCAGTCTAATTCAAACCATGATTGAGTGTGTAATACTCATGGGTGGGTGGGTGAGATTAGGCAGCATTGATTATACCTTGTTACATGTATATCAATTGACAAGGTTTTTGTATTTTAAGACAAAAACTTTAAAGTATACATTTAATGAAATGTTGAAATTTGTGTGGGTAAGTTGGTAACTTAAAATTTGTTTCTTAATTGACAGCAGGAAGTAATCTAGTCCTGAAAACAATTGCTTTGATGGCTCTTTACTAAGAAAGCTACTACTGACTATGTCTTTTAATTGAAAAAGATTTATGTTATTATTTTAAAGTGTATGTGCAAGTGTGTGCCTGTGCTGTGTGCTGGCGTGCACACACCTGGGAGTGCAGTGGCCCTTGGAGGCCAGAGGCGTTGGATTGTTGGACCTGGAATTACATGTTGCTCTGAGCTGCCCTGTGTGGATGCTGGGAACTAAATTTGGGTCCTAGGAAGAACAGGAAGCAGGCTTAACACTGAGCCATCTCTCTTAGTCATGGTCACTGTTGTTGTGATGAAAACACCATAACCAAAAGCAGCGTGCTGCTCCTCATGGCTTGCTCAGTCAGGACCACCAGCTCAGAGGTGGCCTGGGCCCTCCCATATCAGTCACTAATTAAGAAAAAACTGCCCCACAGGCTTGCCTGTGGCATTTTCTTAATTGAGGTTCCCTCTTTTCTGAGCCTCTAGCTTGTGTCAAAGTGACATAAAACTAAAGTATACCTTTCTGTTCCTTCTTTTGATGACCTTATAAACTCATTACATATTAAACCTGGATCACTTTTACGTACCTTATAGTGAGAGCATTTCTCAAGAAAGTAAGTTCTGGAAGTGTAAGATCTTTGTTTTCTCGCAGATGTTCTTGAGGGCTATAATGGAACAATATTTGCGTATGGGCAGACATCATCTGGGAAGACCCACACGATGGAGGTAACATTCATACTCTGTTCTTGAACATGAGCGAGTCATCCACTCAGTGATGTAGGTGTGGGATTCTGAGTTCCTGAGCTTGATTAGTAAGCTGGGCCTGTGTTTCATAGTATGAAGTCTTCCAACTCAGTATAATGTAAAGGAAGGAACAGTCTAGGATTAAATGGCAGTTTTCTACCACTCTGTGACGTGAGAAAACTTAGATGACATTAAAGGTGTTGTCTCTAGAATATCTTCTGCACTTCTCCGATAAGGTCTGCCCTTCCCTTCTCTTGCTCCTCTAGAATGCCAGACGTGGCTGGCCTCTTTTAACTCTGCCCTTAAAGGCAGCTTGTGTTGGCCCTATCACGGCCATCTGTGTTTACCGTTCACCGGGATGTGCTGTGTAAAGTAACTGACAGCCTGTTCTTTTCAGGAAGTAATAGAAATATAGACATTCCTAGCTTTTGCAGGAATTTGTTTTGGTATAGAAAACAATGTATATTTATATGGAAATGAATTAAATCATATTTTTAATGCAGATTATCTAAATTTAGTACTTAAAAGAATTTAGTTGGTGGCCAGGCTGTGGTGGTGCACGCCTTTAGTTCTAGCACTCGGGAGGCAGAGGTAGGCAGATCTCTGAGTTTGAGGCCAGCCTGATCTACAGAGTGAGATTCAGGACAGCCAGGGCTACATAGAGAAACCCTGTCATGAAAAACCACAAAAAGAAATAACTTAATTGGTATATGCTTATACAATATTACAAGTAATGGTTAAAATTTTTTAATTATTTGTAGAGCTATTTCTAAAAAAAAAAAAAAAGCTACTCCTATTAGTGCTTATCCTATTATATTTTATTAAAGAGTTAAAGTTCTTTGCTTTAATTCATCTTTTGAAATTTGTTAAAAAATTCTGCTTTATTTTCTATGCAGGGTAAACTTCATGATCCAGAAGGCATGGGAATTATTCCAAGAATAGTGCAAGATATTTTTAATTATATTTACTCAATGGATGAAAATTTGGAATTTCATATTAAGGTAAATTCCTGAAAACGTTATATTTGATTTGCCTTAGGATAATTCTTTTCCAAAATAGCTGGTTCCTGAAAGTCAGTTTTAAAAAGTTGTTACAGGTAGATAAGGTCGAAGGACCGTTAGAGGTAGGAACCGATCCTAGTTCATACGCCATTAGATGCTGGGTGAACTAGATTTGTTCTTGCCGCTTAGCACAGAGCTCTAAGGGTCCCACCACACTTAACTTCTTGTCCATTGTGTGTGCTGTTTAACAGAGACTTTTTGTTATTTAAGCAACTTAGTAACTCAGGCTTTCCTCTTGGGGTATGAGTTATGGCTGGTGTAATGTCCTCGTCTGGACATCTGGCATTTCGGCTGCATTGCTTCCCAAGAGAACATGCTGTTGTGATTTAATGGGCTGAGCTCTTTTCTTTGTGCTTCAGGTGTCCTATTTTGAGATATATTTGGATAAGATACGGGACCTCTTAGATGGTAAGTTGATCCTTCCTCTGGTAGTGTCGGTGGCGCCTGTTGCTCACCTGTCATAGATGTTCTCAGTAACATAGACGGGACTGCATGCAGCGGCGTGTCGTACACGGGGTAGCCTATAGCATATGGGTACTTCTGTTTTTAATTTTTCTTAAAGTCAGTTAACAAGTAAAGGAGGAGCACCTTGCCTGGGAGGGGCGTGACCATGAGCTGTAGCACACAGGCACTTCTGAACAGTGATGAGAGCTTTACGCCGAGGACTGCAGAGCCTGAGCAGACTGTTAGTCTCTGCTGGTGGAGGCCTAATGTTCTTATCTGTGAAACGTGTGTGCTACAAGTTTGACGTTCATACTGTCACATTAGTTTCTAGCTTACTCTCCTAGTAGATTTACAAGGCCTTGTGTGTTTTTTATAGTAATACATAGCTTATATATAATATAGATTTTTAATTTACTTCCTGTTGTTGGGCTGCTAAGGTAAGCCTCCCACTTGTATTAGTTATTTCATAGCTGATATCAGATCTGTTGCTAATACAGCTTTTCTTTTTCAGTTTCAAAGACCAACCTTTCAGTCCATGAAGACAAAAACCGTGTTCCCTATGTGAAGGTACTTACAATACGAGAGCACAATTACTGCAGAAAGCCCCGTGAGAGACTTTTTAAAGGATGGTAACAATGCTTTTAAAACTATTCCATAGGGGTGCACAGAGCGTTTTGTATGCAGTCCAGATGAAGTTATGGATACCATAGATGAAGGGAAATCCAACAGGCATGTAGCAGTTACAAGTAAGTAGAGTATTCACTAGTACTGCCTAGGGCATGTCAGCCTTACATCCTGCGGCAGTCTGTTCATCTTGAGATGTTTCTAGTATCAAAAATAATGCTTTAGGGGAGATTATTAGTGAAGGAACTGTATTGATAGTTGCTTACTAATTTCGTTGCAGATATGAATGAACATAGCTCTAGGAGTCACAGTATATTTCTTATTAATGTAAAACAAGAGAATACACAAACGGAACAGAAACTGAGTGGGAAGCTGTATCTGGTTGATTTAGCTGGCAGTGAAAAGGTAAACCTTCTCTTGAAATTCTCGTAGATAAGGCATTTCTGTAAATTTTACCTTAAATTGAAGCTTACACACTACGTATTGTTGCATCTTGAGAACTTGCGCAGTTGGATTTGGTAACCTGAGAATTATAATTGTTGGCCAATGCTATGTGATACGGCAATAACCTGCTCCCAAGTGACTCTCAGTTAGCTCTATTCAATTTAGTCAGTAGACACAGTGTTTGAATTAGGATGTGTGTTCCTTCACAGCTTGTTAGCATGTGCTCTCACAACTTTATTCTCAGTCCCTCTCTTATGTTATCAGTATTAATTGTCACTTTCTCCACCTTTCTTGCTTGGGTCTCCTGTTGTCCCTTGATATCGTGGGGTTGTTTGAGGACCCTCACAGCGTCCGTCATGAATATACAGCATCCGTAGATGCTCCAGTCTCTATAGAGTGATGTAGTGTTTGCAGAGACCCTACACACATTCTTCTGTATGTACGAGCCTGTAGACAGCTGCTAACGCCTACTGTAGTGAGTGGACGCTAAACTATATTGTTCAGAGGCTCAGCAGAGACACTCCGCGTATGTTGGGGACACGTGCAGTTTATTCTGGAGTGTTTCTCCTCCTTGGCTACTGAGTCTGTCAGCATAAGAGAGTCAGCTGTACTAGTTTGGAGGTTTTTGTTTTATTATCAGTCTTACATAATTCTAATGTTAGTCTATAAAAAGGGAATATTTAAGTGTTTTAATATGGACTTCTGTGACCGTTAACGCTGTTTTGTTTTACATAGTCTTGTTTACCAGAAGTCTTATCCACATCTTACCTATCAGTGTGACTACACCTGGTCTGAATTCTAGGAGCCATTTAGGCAGTGTGCTTGCGTTTTAAGTCATGGTTTAGCTTATGTAATACTTTAGAACTCTTATTTTTAGCAGTTATGGTATCTGCATTATGGTTTAGGCTATTTTCAGGTTTTTTTTAACGTGGCAAAGAAATGAACAATGTTAACTACAAATTAACATATAAATTTGTTACTGTCAAAAGCTCACTAAAAATAAAATTTAATGGTTCTTTAACCACATTCTTGAACAACTAGTTGTCTAACCTGGTTCTTAGAAGAATAGTAGGTGTGCAGAGTCTTAGTTTGTCAGTGTGAATACCCTTCACCTTTGTCATTTTATTACTATTCATTGGTGACTGTTTGGAGAGCCGAAAGAAAATGATCTTTTTTTTTTTTTTTTTTTTTTTTTTTTAATAAACTGAGATTTCTTTTTTTTTTAAAGATTTTATTTAATGTTCTATCTGTATGTACACCTGCATGCTAGAAGACAGCAATAGAAGGTATAGATGGTTGTGAGCCACCATGTGGTTGCTGGGAATTGAACTCAGGACCTCTGAAAGAGCAATCAGAGCTCTTAACCACTGAGCCATCTCTCCAGCCCAGAAAATGATCTTAAACTTGAAATTTTGCTTGATTATTGTGTGATCTTATTACAGGTTAGTAAAACTGGAGCTGAAGGTGCAGTGCTGGATGAAGCCAAAAACATCAACAAGTCCCTCTCTGCACTCGGAAATGTCATCTCGGCTTTGGCAGAGGGCAGTGTGAGTACACACATCTGTTGCCTCCCTGTCTACCATTAGCATGTGTGCGGCAATGTGAGACTTGACGGTTAACAGGATGAGTGTGTATTCTGAGTTTAGCGCTAGTCTGTGTAGCCTAGTTCTCATTATGAACTCAAGTAGTTAAAATAAAGGAAACAAGCCAGGCCTGGGAAGGCGCATCTGATCACAGTGCCTGAGGCGGAAACAGGATGACCGAGAGTTAGAGAAGGAACTTTACTGTGTAAAACCCACTGGGTTTGTCTGTGTGTGTTTGTTGTAGACCTATGTTCCATATCGAGATAGTAAGATGACCAGAATCCTCCAGGACTCACTGGGCGGCAACTGCAGGACCACTATTGTCATCTGCTGCTCTCCCTCATCGTACAACGAGTCTGAAACGAAGTCCACACTTCTCTTCGGTCAGAGGTCTGTTGTTGAACACAGGGTCTGAGACATTGTGCACTAAAATTACTCATGTCAGACAGGCGCCACTGCAGTCCAGTGTTGTCAGAGCTAGACCCTGGACTTTTGATCAGGGCATAGGTAATACAATTTTACACTGACGAGCTTTAACTTTTCATAGACATTCAAATTAATTTTGAAATTTAGTCAAATTTTTGTTGGAGTTTAATTTCCCATTGATGAAAGTAACCATTTGAGTCAGAGAATAATAAAGCTGTCAGAAATATGAGCCTGTGTTAAACTCACTGAATACTTAACAGGCTCAAGTAATGTCCGTGAAACAGCTACTGTAGGAAAATCAGTTACAGCCTTGTCTTACACCTGCAGTGATAACTCGCGTTACTAAGTCAACCTTGTCAGTGAGTTGGGAGAATAAATACATTTTCTTAGTTTTGAGGTTTTTTTAATGTTACCAAAGAGTTAAGCCTGACAATTTTATTTGTATTGTGAGTAGACACTAGTATATGTTATATTTTTTAGTGTTTGTTCTAAGAAAAAACTAGATAATCTTAGAGAATTTGTTACTTAGCTAAATCGACATATATTAAATAGGGATGTTAATTAAAAGTACTTTCAGTCATATCCTTTTTTCTGTAATTATTACTCTTTCTTAATTATGTCTTTTCCATAATTGCATCACTTAGGGCCAAAACAATTAAGAACACAGTCTGTGTCAATGTAGAGTTAACTGCAGAGCAGTGGAAAAAGAAGTATGAAAAAGAAAAGGAAAAAAATAAGACTCTACGAAACACCATTCAGTGGCTTGAAAATGAACTCAACCGATGGCGTAATGGTAATAATTTAAGAATTTGCCATTTAATTTTCCGACTTAGGGCTGTCTGTTATAGATATTTGAGATTTTTATAGGAATGTTAAATAAAAATAAAGCCTGTTTTCAGTTTGTAAGCATGTAGGGGTCTTCAAATAGAGATTGAGATCTGTCGTTCAGTTTTTATGTCACCTGAAACAGTAAGAGCGAAGGTGCTGCCCGGTAGTCAGGTGCCTGGAATGGGAAGGAGTCAGTAGAGGCCCAAGTGGGTGGATTTCAGCGAAGCGGGTGAGATCAAGGGAAGTTCAGGTGTCCAGATCCATTGCATACCTGTAATCCCAGCCCTGGGGAGTTACCGCCCCAGTGATTTTTAAGTTTGGCCCTGCATGGCCTGTGTGACGATGCCTTTTATAAAATGCATGTATACATTTATATGTACTTATATGTAAACCTAGCTGGGAGTGGCAGCATACGCCTGTAATGCCAGCACTGAGAAGGCAGAGCATGATGTATACGGCAAGAGTATGCCAACCTGAAAACTAACAAAAACTTGGGAACAGACCAGAAAGAAAGTTGGTTTGAATTGTTGACATTGAGGAACAGAGACGAAGGATGGTGAAATGGGACTTGATACCCATCACTTTTTTTTTTTTAATTTTAAGATTTATTTTATAATGTATACAGTGTTCTGTCTGCATGTGGTCCTGAATGCCAGAAGAGGGCAGCAGATCTCGTCACAGATGGTTGTGAGCCACCATGTGGTTGCTGGGAATTGAACTCAGGACCTCTGGAAGAGCAAGCAGTGCTCTTACCCTCTGAGCCGTCTTTCCAACCCTGACACCCATCAGTATTTACAGAAACATTTTAATTCAGTAATAACTGACAAGTAGAACTTGAGGTAGTTCAGTAAGAAGTGGAGTTCAGGGTTCAGGAAGGACGCTTGGATGACTCATGTCTCCCTGTTTCTTACTCACGGTCTGGAGGAAGAAAAGGAAAAAAGTGTGCCTTGGGTCCAGAGGCTAGGCAGATTGCCTCTGCTCTGTACCTCACAACAGACGCCTACCGCCGTCCTGCCTCCCTGCCAAGGGGGAACCCACAGTCTCAGGCTTTAAGCCTGCTAAGTGGACTTTGTCTCCACCGTCAGCAATCCCAGGATGTGCACAGCCCTCACCAGCAGGCAGGCCTCAGTGGAACACGGCTTAGAAGGCCTGAGCTTAAGGACCACGCTTGCTGTTTGTCTGACATCTTCACATGGGCTGGCTATTGGTGGGCTTTCCTGAACAAACGTAATCTGCAAAGACTAGATTAAAAAGGTAGTTCTTCAAATGTTGATGTAAAGAACACGATAAAGATGATTCAGATGTAAGGAGCTGCGGTTGACCCTAAAGAGACTGAGATGAGCAAGTCACAGGGCAGTTCAGAGTAGCTGGTGTAAGTGCCCACGCTCAGAGGTCTGCAGAGTGTGTGGAGACAGTGGAGGAAACAATAACAGTGACCGACCAGAGTGAGAAATGGACAGACACTGGAGAACTTTTTAAAGCACAAACAAATCTGCTAAAAGTGGCAGTAGGGAACACCAGCACACACCTGGTCAAAGCAGAAGGAATGTGTGGACATGCAGAGGGACGGACGCCAGTTACTACGTTTGTAGTAACCATCTCATTGTCGTTTCAGGGGAGACAGTGCCTGTGGACGAGCAGTTTGACAAGGAGAAAGCCAACTTGGAAGCTTTCGCAGCAGATAAAGATATTGCTATTGCCAATGATAAGCCAGCGGCTGCGATCGGAGTGTCCGGCAGCTTTACAGATGCAGAAAGAAGAACGTGTGAGGAAGAAATTGCTAAGTTGTATAAACAGCTGGACGACAAGGTAGCTTTCCTTTTACCTGTTTTATATTTGTCCATTTGTTGTAGAGTGCTATTGACACCAGTCTTTTTAATCTCGGTATTAAGGTTCCGTGTGGTCTACACCTTTATTTCTGTCAGCTTTTAGAAAGCCAAGGTAGTGCTGGGGTTAGTGGGCCATGCTGAAGTTGCAGCACTTAGGAGGCAGAGGCAGAAGGAAGGAGTGTAAGGCTAGCCTTGAATACATGGTGGCTTTGAAGACAGCCTGGGACATATGAGACCAAGGTGATGTAGGGCTGGGAGAATCACAGCCACGCAAAATTTAAGTGCTGACTTGATGGTGTGGCATGTGTCTAAGTGCCAGCATGCTGGTGTCACGTGGGGCTTTGGCTTCCATTACAGCACCAGGGAGAGAATAAACTTCAGTTCTCTGTGGAAACTGGGCCTCAGAACAAAGTGCTCCGTGTGCTGGGCGTATAGGAAGGTGAGGCAGGAGAGTCTCCAGTTTGAGGCCAGCTGGAGATACTGTACCTAAAAACAACATGGCTCTTTGGTAGGGTACTTGCCACTTGCCTCGAATGCAGTCCTGTGTTCTACCCGTTAGCCAGCGAACAAAACTTAACTAGAAAATTTTGTCATTGGGTTTGTGAAGAATTATAGTGAAACAACCATTTAGAGATCTGAGGTCCCTCATGAGAGTTCATGGGAAGAGGAAAGGACAGGAAAAACTCCTAAAGCATGCTTTTCTCACTAGAACCCAGGTATGCAAATATGCAAGACTGGTGTCTTAGGGTTTCTGTTGCCATGCTAAGTACCTTGTCCAAAAGCACCTTGTCCAAGTCGGGGAGGAGAGGATTCATTTTGCCTCATAGCTTATTTTTCCTGTGAGCATGGGCACAATAGAAATATTTTTGGGCTTTGAGGTGAATATATAATCACTAGTTTCTGTAATAGTTTTAAATAAACTAGGGGGATTTTTAGCCTTTAAAGTGACTTCACAGACTTTGATCTTTTCTTGGTTATATGGCCTATGGCACTATTATTAATGAAGAAAAACCTTCTCTTCAAGTTTCCTTAGGAAACTTAAATTCTATTGACTATTTTGGAGGGGTAGTAATTCAGAGTTGGTGTTGGGAAACAAGCCAGGTTATAGTATGCTTTGATAATTGGATACTTTACAATTTTTAGGATGAAGAGATTAACCAACAAAGCCAACTGGTGGAGAAGTTGAAGACACAAATGTTGGACCAGGAAGAGGTGAGTTAAAATGCTTGGAGAAAAGCTTTAGTGTTTATCATGGAGAGGGAGAGGACTCTGGAGCGCAGGTTGTGTTAAACACTGTAGCTTTAAAATGACTGAGTGTGCATATGCTGAAGGATCAGTGTGCTGTGAGTTAACCCTTGCATGTATTGAATGATGCTTTTTATTCTTGAGTTTCCTCTCAGGTATGGAAGGCAGAAGACGGTTTCTCTGAAATGTTAGTTTTTACCAGGTTAATGGCATGTAGTTTATGTGTATCTGTAATCCTGGAATCAGGAAGGGCATGTCAAGTTCGCAGCCAGCAAGGACACTGTACTGAGATCCTTTCTCAGAAACTACAGTAGGGAATTCTGGACCACATGACTGTGGCGTCTCTAACTCTTCTACTTTATTTAGATGATCACAGTATCTATCATCCTACTATTCCCACCTTAAATATTTCCTACAGATGTGGGAACAGAATTGCCTGGAGTGATTGTTAAATACTCTCACTTAGGGAAAAATATTTACATATAGATGAGAGGGAGGAAGACAACTGTATACATAATAGTTTTTATATTCACTTCCTCACTTGTGTTATGTATCTAACGCAGGCTTTTTCTCACTAGTAATCTAGATATACCAATATGTGAGACTGGGATTCTGTTGCCATGCTAACCATGACCAAAAGCAACTTGGGGAGGACAGGATTCATTTTGCCTCATAGCTTATTAGTTTATGACTGAGGGAAACCAGGGGAGGAACCTGAAGGCAGGAAACAGAGCTGAAGCCATGGAGGAGTGCTGCTTGCTGACTTCTCATGGCTCATTAGCCTGCTTCCGTACAGTGCCCAGGACCACCAGCCCAAGGATGCCACCATCCCTGTGGGACAGCCCTGCCCATATCAGATATCTGTCAACAAAATGCACCACGGCCCTGCTCATAGGCCGGTCTGGTGGAAACATTTTCTCAGTTGAGGTACTCTCTTCCAAAATGATCCTAACTTCATCACATTAACATAAAACAAGCCAGCATGGCACTGTAGGGGAGGACACTTTCAATCCCAGCACTTGGGAGGCAGAGGTAGGTGGTTCACTGTGAGTTCTAGGCCAGCCTGGTCTGCAGAGTGAGTCCGGGACAGCCAGGGCTACACAGAGAAACCCTTGTCTTGAAAAACCAAAAACTAGCCAGCATAATAAATATATGACCCAAACATTTTACTGATGATAAATCATGAAGTTTATTTTAGAGCAGTTATTTGATAAGCATTTATTCTTGCTCTTAAACATGAAAGGTTTGAATCCTAATGGGTGCTTCAGTGTTTTTATATAAAGAACTATATCCTTGCCGCACATTTGATATTGCCGAACACAGCATCTTCCACACTTAGTTCTTCAATATCTTGATTTTATAAAAGTTGATGCTGAAAATGCCACTTGCCATAAATGCATAAGACAAAATGACAGAAGTGTGTTGAAAGGCTAGCTCATAATTTTGAAAATCTGTCCTAATCCCAAACCAGAGTTCAGTGAATAATTTTTCATGATAGTTAAGTCAGAAACGTGGCGGGTTTTTTAAATCTAATATTCTAGCCCAGTGGTGCTAGTACACACCTGTAATCCCCAGCACTCAGGAGGCAGAGATGGGCAGATTCTGAGTTCGAGACCAGCCGAGTTCCAGGGTAGCCAGGGCTACACAGAGAAACCCTGTCTCAGCCCCTCTCCCACCCCTCCAAACAAAAAATTTCCTCCCGTGTACCCAGGCATTTGGGTTTTAGTTAATTACAGCTGTAGTCAGGTTGGCAACTAAGAATAGCCATCATAGATGTTAGTAATTGTATGATTTTCTGGAAAGATGAGTGCCACATGAATAAACATACTTACTCCTTCATGTTGTCTTCCTAACCCAGTCAGTCTGTGTCGCCTTTCATTTCATTTCTCCTACATTTCTTACGATTTAGTTTAGATCCGCATTTTATTTTACCCAGTGTACTGGGGATAATTGACAAAATAACCCCTATTTAAGGTGTTTTTGAGAGCCTAAAGAAATGGCTGTCATCAGAAAAGTCTGACTTCATCAGTGTACCTTTTTGGATTGTTGAGACAAGGTGTTTCTTTTTAGTTGGCTTGGATCTTGACATTGCACCCAAGCTAGCCTAGCATTGTTCCCGCCTCAGCCCCTGCTATGTGCCTCTATGCCTGGTGTCTCTGTTGTGTGCTTCTGCTGAGACTGTTCTTGGAGGCAGTCTGTTAGGAGTGGGGGCTTGGGAGTGTCTGTACTATTCTGAACCATGCACTACAGGACCTTTAGCACTCAGGATTCTCTTCCCTGTTGTTATTACCAACAGTTACTAATATTAATAATCCCATGCATTTCCAAATGTCTCTGGTGAAAAGTCACTGTTGTGGATGGTCCTCTATCTTCTCTCCAGTTCAAACATAATGTGTTGACAAATTTCTCCGAGGCGTGACTCAGAGGCCACCCTTAGTTTTCTAAAGCAAATCTCCGTGCTTTAAAGATGCCTTACTTTGATTTTATGTGTATACGTGAGTACCTGCGTGTGTGCATTTGTACCATGTGGGTTATTTCTCTTCCTTTCTTGTGTTGTACAAAGTGTTAGCACATCCCCTGTCCATAACTCCATGTTCAGTGCACGTGTTAAAGAATAAAGTATCAGCACCTTTAATAGTGTGACTTTTCATTTCTTGTTTGTGAAATCTTGACGCAAATGAGTGTTTTCTTTCAAGTTTGTTAAAATTCTATGTATTCTTTCATACAGCTTCTGGCATCAACCAGAAGGGATCAAGATAATATGCAAACTGAACTGAATCGCCTCCAAGCAGAAAATGATGCTTCTAAAGAAGAAGTCAAGGAAGTTTTACAGGCCTTAGAGGAACTGGCTGTTAATTATGACCAGAAGTCTCAGGAAGTTGAAGACAAAACTAAGGAATATGAATTGCTTAGTGATGAATTGAATCAAAAATCTGTAAGACATATTTTGTTTTCTTAAAACTTAAAAGTAATGTTAACTGAAAGGTTATTTAAATAAGTTATTCCTGTATATTGATAAGATACAGATATAAGATATTGCTAACATCAGTTCTCAGGACACCCAGGTCGCACCCTCACTTGTCCTTACATACCAAGCCCAGGAGCCACAGCAGTCCTGTTATAATTTTGGTTCCTAAAAGTATATTGATACGAAATTTAATTGTTACTTTAAATGACTTGACATACTTTACTAAAGCTGTCAGGTGATCAAACTCAAGAAATACTCACATAAAGAAATAGATGTAGGTGTGGCATGGTATGGTGTGTAGCTTGCCTTAGGGCAGGAGAGATGGGAAGACTGCCTGGGCTGTGTTGTGATGCCCTGTCTCAACAACCCGAAAGGGAGTGGAGGGAAGAGATGCTGGGTATCTTCTTGAGTTACTCCCGAGTAGTCAAGGCATGTTAGTTTGAGTGGTCACTGTTTTGCTCACTGGAATCCTGAATGGAGCCAAGACGTTCCAGTGCTGGGAATAGGACCTCCTGGTCTGTAGCGACGGACACGTATGTCAGCTGCCAGCAGCACATAGCTGTGATTCTTCAACTCTGGTTCGAGTTGTTAACCCTTTCTATTAGAAACCAGTTCCTGGTTGTGTTTAGATTGGTGCCTGCCATCTCTTTCTGTCTGTGCTCACATGTGTTACACTTATTTTTATACAACTGTGTTTCTTTCTCAGCTTCTCACTTAACCTGGCTGTCACACAAATAATTGAGAAGCCTGTTTAAAAATAAGCTTCACAGCACAAAAACTGAGCAGTTACTACTCTATTCTTAACCCTCTAAGCTAATTTGGTTTCCTCCAGCCCGTATCCCAGAAATACTTGCTTTTTGCAGCTTTCCTGCTCCCGCATTCCTGTCCTCATCTTTCCTGGACCTCTCCCATGGCCGAATCCCCAGGCTCAATCCCCTACTTCTCTCCCAACTCCTCCCCTGGCTGGTAGGATGTCCAGCCCTATTTCCTCTTCTGCTCAGCGATTGGCTGTAAGCTGCTTTATTGACGTGTCAGGGGACCATTGGGGAGCAGATTTTCTCAGAGCAAGGTTTGCAACCCCGTATAGGGGTACAGAAATCAGCATTTGAGTTACACAATAACCTTATGCCTATACACATGTCTAAACGAAAGCCGTCAGTACCATGAACTAGCGCCTTTAAAAGATACGCCTCTTTCTGAGACACTTTAAGGCCAAAGTGTGGCTCAGTAGTTAAGGGTGTTTGTTGCTCTTAAAGAACCAGGTTTGATTCCCGGCGCCCACATGTCAGTTTACAAACCTCCTATAACTAACTCCAGTCGCCCGGTGCTTCTTCTGACCTCCTCTGGCACGCCCCAGGCCTGTAGTGTTGTACACATACGTAACATACAAGCAAATACTCACATAAAATATTTAAATAATCTAAAAAGAAATAGAACTCAATAAAATAAAGCTTGCTGCCCCGATTACTTTGTTTTCTGTTCTTGCTCTCCAAACAACAGGTAGGTTTGTCATACTCAGTTGCCAAGGATAGCTAAGAATGTTGTAACTCTACCCAAGTGGAATTATTGTAGGAAACCTAGTTACTGTTTGGTAAAACAGTGAATCTTAGAGTTGGGAAGTTGGTCTTTGTCCATTGATTTTGGTATTTAAGACAGTTGTGGAGTTGAAATCACCAGATTTTGTTGGTTCTAAATGTAAACAATGTTATTATTTAGATATTAAAGAAAATGCCTGCCAGTGTAGTAAATCTTATGCTAGAAGCATGCTGACCTATGAAATCTAGAGGAGAGCTAGTAGTATATTGTAAACTGGGAGAATATATGTTCTACTGATAACCAGAAACTAAACCAACCATAACCCCCCCCCCACACACACACACAAAAGCAATCGAAATGATGGCACCTGTGTTCAAATATTGGCTAAAAGTCAGTAAATTGCATTAAAAATTCTACGTTTGATACTGATACATCACTTTAACATGGTCCAAATTGTACTTTTCAAAATTACGACTTTGTAGATGATAACCAGCTATTATTTTAAATGTACAGTTAGAATAATTAAACTCAATGGCATTCATCATTATGGCCTAAGTAATTACCTATGTTGAAGTAGTGAAAATAGTAGTAATTAAGACTGCATGGATTGTCTTTCGTGAGCATGTAGAAAATGAATAAAGGAAGCATACCAACTGAATGGAAAGTAGTTGTCCAAAGCCAGGGAATAGCATTCCAAACATTAGTTTGCTCAGACTAATTTCAGAAATTAAACAGTAGTAGTGGATGATAGTAATACCCGAGTCATGCCGAAGTTCCGGATGTCCGTGCAGAGAACCTCCAATCTGAAGAACTCCTGCTTTTACTGGGACATAGGAACACAACATGCCTGCCTTACACAGGCTGAAGACTTATTTCTACCTCACAATTCATTATGATCCAGGATCTCAAAACAAGAACCAAGTGGTCTGGGGCAGACTGTGCTGCCTATTTGAAGAGCCTTATTTTCTTTTCTCCTGTCAGGCAACTCTAGCAAGCATTGATGCTGAGCTTCAGAAACTGAAAGAAATGACCAACCACCAGAAGAAGCGAGCCGCCGAGATGATGGCGTCGTTATTAAAGGACCTTGCAGAAATTGGGATCGCCGTGGGAAACAATGATGTGAAGGTAATTCACAGGTGTGGTTTTCTGTTTGCGCGCACTGTTATGTGTGTGCCCGCTCTGTGGCACGGATGCAGCCACACATGTGTGTGAAGCTCAGCGATCAGTCCCCTTGGGCTCTTTGCTTCTTACCTTGTTTTTTGAAGGTATCCTGGCGGGACCTGGGCTTGGCCTACGGGAGCCTCCTGTGCCCGCCTCTTAAGCGTTGGCAGTGCAGTAGCCCACACACCTGGCTGCTTTTTGTTTTCAGTCTTTGTGTTTTTAGTGTGGGTTAAAAACCCCCTGGGCTTTTGTGGCAGACCTTTTAATGACTAAACTATGTCTTCAGTCCTGCCATTAGTTCTGTTCATACATGCCATCCTCACAGCCACGTGTGGTAGTGTGTGTTAACTACTCTTTAGACTTTTATATCTGTGTCTGTGTGTGCATATGTGTACGGGTGGCTCAGGAGGACAGAAAAGGCTGTTGGATCCTTGGAGCTGGAGTTACAGGTTGCTGTAACGCCCCTTGTCGGTGCTGGAGCACAGTTGAGCTCCTCTGGAAGAGCAGCACCCTCTTTGAACACACAGCCATCTCTCTAGCTGCTGTGATTTAAACAGATGAGAAAAGAGGGAAGAAACCAGGAGCACAGAAGGAGAAGAACACTGAGCACCCTTCTTGGGCCGTGTTGGAGTATTCCTCAGCTGTGCGAAGGTTCTCTCTTCACAGTAGCCTTGCTGGGCTAATGAGGTGGCTTAGTAAAGGTGCTTACCACGTAACCCTGATGACCTGAGTGTGACCCCTGGAACCCGTGCTGGACGGGAGAGCCAACCTTGTACACTGTGTCACTCGCACATTGGCATCACACACAGTGCGTGCTGACACTGGTGGGAAATAGCTATTTAAAAGTCTTAACTTTATTCCCTTGTGTTCGTGTTAGATTTGGGCAGTAGTGAATCTGCTCCGGGGGAAGCGCATAAATGACATGACGTATTGTTACCGTTTGCTTTCTAAAAAATAACCTTGTATGTGTTTGCGTGTGTGTGGAGGCCAGGGTCAGCACCCATGTCTGCCAGACTCTGTCCCTTCAGTTTTTGAGACTGGCCTTTGACTGAACCTGCAGCTCAGTGAGCAGCTCCTTTGCCACAGTGATCCCACCTGCCCCCGGGCTGCCTCTGAGCTTGATGTTCTGAAACTCAGCACTGCGGTCCTCACACTTGACACACGTTACCTTTGCCATCTGCCCGGCCATGCGTGTTAGATTCTGGAACAAGGCTCTCCCTGAGCTGGAATCTCAGTGACTTGCCCACACTGGCTGGCCAGTGAGCCTCAGAGAGCTGTCTGTCTCTGCCTCCATCATTTCTGGGATCACAAGTGCGCGCTACCATGCCCAGCATTTTCTGTGAGTGCTGGGGAATTCCCATCCTCAGTGGTCTTGGCACATACTTCACTGCTTATTCTGTAGCCCTGCCTGGGGTGATGTTAAACAGAGGCTACTTGAACTTTAAAGGTGACTGAAGTTCATGGCCAAAGTTACAGAGTAGGGCCCTGTCTCAAAAGCAAGCAAACAGAAGAAGGCGACATGACTCCCTGGTAGAGGGGGCTTACCATCAAACCCAATGTACCGAGAGTCAACTTGGGATTCACATAAGTGGGAGGGAAGGACTGCAGGCTGCCCCTGCCCTCCACCTGCACACCATGGCTCATACACATCTTGGCTTCCTGTGGCTTCTGTAATAGTGCACCCCGAAGTTAGCCAGGTTTTCTAGCCCAGCCTGGGGAAATGCACATTGAACATGGTTGGCTCTAACTTTTTTGTTCCCCTGTGTGTGAGGGGCGGGGCTTGAGACAGGGTCTTACTCAGTTCACCTTGTAGATCAGGCTTTTTTTGAACCTACAGAGATCTGACTGCCTCTGCCTCCCAAGTACTGGCGTGAAAGGTGTGTGCCGCCTCATGACCCTGTCTTTAACTTCCTCCTGGCTTTTCTCACAGCAGCCGGAGGGAACTGGCATGATAGATGAAGAGTTCACTGTCGCAAGGCTCTACATTAGCAAAATGAAGTCAGAAGTGAAAACCATGGTGAAGCGCTGCAAACAGCTAGAAAGCACACAGACAGAGAGCAACAAAAAAATGGAAGAGAATGAGAAGGAGTTAGCAGCGTGCCAGCTTCGGATCTCCCAGGTAAGTGTTTCAGAGTAGTTTCTCATTGTTCTGAAAAGTCTAAAAGTCATTTATTATTTATTATAAAAGTTTTCAGAATCATAAGCTTCTGTGTATTTCAGTAATAAAGTAGGTGTTTTTTTAGTGTAGCTGCAGTATAACAAGGTAGATGATTTCTTGTGGACATACTAAGTATGGAAATTAGCTAGAGCCGTGTGACTGACGGAATGGGGGAGCGAGACGGCAGGGAGCAGTGGCTTCTGTCTTCAGCTGGGAGCAGTGGGGAGCTCTCGAGGACCTGGTCAGGGGGCTTAGTAATAGGTCTTGTAAGCTGTGTAGTCACACAAGCTCTAATCTCTCACATCTGGACTGTAAAATGCGCGTGAGATAGTTCTCCACTTCATGTCACTATTTTCTCCCTGAAAGCACGAAGCCAAAATCAAGTCCCTGACAGAGTACCTTCAGAATGTGGAGCAGAAGAAGAGGCAGCTGGAGGAGTCTGTCGACTCCCTGGGTGAGGAGCTCGTCCAGCTGCGGGCACAAGGTACGGGCTTCGGTTGCTCCGTCCACCTTCCTACTATAATGGAACTGCGGTACACACACACGCCCTGAAAAGCAGGAAGAACGTAGAGAATCTGGAATAGTGAAGAATGATCCACTTCAGTGTGCCTTTGAAATATTTTTTACAATTAAAGAGTGATAGAGGATGCATGGAAGCCCCTGGTCTCCAGACACGCACACACAAGTGAACACTCCCTTGTGAACATGCGTAGTCCAAATACACGTTACAAAATAAGAAACTATGTTGAGATAAATGGCAATTCAAGATATTCCCACACATTTAGACATGTATGTGTTTGTTTAAATGCTAATACAATGCTTAGAAATATATCATTTTCCTTTTGTGATGTCAGTACAGTGGTTACAAGGTAGCCTAGTGTTCCTGAGCTTGCAGAGTTTCGCCAAGTCCTTATCACACTTATTTGCCCTGTTTATGTGAGGAATCTTAAGGCTCACTTTGACCTTGGTTTTTTACTCTCCTGTACCAAACAGAGAAAGTCCATGAAATGGAAAAGGAACACTTAAACAAGGTTCAGACTGCAAATGAAGTCAAGGCAAGTTTGGCACGCTACCGCACCGTAAAGTTTTAATCCATCATTGTAGAAACTGAGTCTAACTCTAACATCTTTTCCCTTCCAATGGATTTCAGCAAGCTGTTGAGCAACAGATCCAGAGTCACAGAGAAACCCATCAGAAACAAATCAGCAGTTTGAGAGATGAAGTTGAGGCCAAGGAAAAACTAATCACTGATCTCCAAGAGTAAGTGTGCTTTTCTCCGAGCTGCTGGAGACTGATTCAGAAAGGTTCCCTGTTGAGACAGGAGGCACTAACAGACATACATCCTCCCTAGAAACCTGCTGTTGTCAGTGATGTTAGAGTCTTTCTTTACATTTTCAGTAAATATTCCAAGTTGTAGATGGGCTTTGAAAACACTGTTTTTAGCGCTTCCATCTGAATATTTTGTAAAGGAAAAAGGGAGGAAGGGCTTCCAGCTTGACGGTGAGTGCTAATAACTGCCAGCTTCCACGGGGTCTGAGACTGTGGGGACGGTGTTCTGTTCTCAGTAGTCATTGTCTTAGTTATCTAGAAGCCATTTCTTCCTTTCTAAGTTGTCTGTCTTCACACATAAAGACTAAGTCAGAGAAATCTGTGATGATTTGAGTAAACAAGAGTGAGAGCAAACTAAATGCTGACAAATTTTGGGAGATGGTTCTTGCTGTATTAATACCTAATGGAAGTGAATATCAAGCTGTGGGAGCAGAGAAATGATTTCAAATGGTCATGTGAAAGATACTGTATAACTGAAAGTACCCACGTCCCTTCCTTTCCCAACCTCATGAGAACAGTGTAATGGTACCCTGGCCAGCTGGCAAACAGATTGGGCATTTTAGAGTTTCGTTGAAGCCCAGCGTAGTTCCAGGCTGAGCCAGGAGGATTTCAAGTTCCCGAGCTCTTGTTTTAAAAAGCAAGCCCCCTCTAAAGAGCGAAATTTTGATGATGACCTTCAGGAAACTTTGAGGCAGAGTTTATATTCTGTTGTTTTGTCAGTCAAAACCAGAAGATGGTGCTGGAGCAGGAGCGGCTGCGGGTGGAGCACGAGAGGCTGAAGGCCGCAGACCAGGAGAAGAGCAGGAAGCTGCATGAGCTCACGTGAGTACCCGGGGCCGCAGCCTAAACCTGTGGGCAGCTGGAGGCGCTTCTGGGAGTGGCTGTCTTCTGCCTTGCTTTGTGACATGTGCATGCGAAGTCTCAGGAGACCACAGCCCTGTTTCTCAGACTGCCTGCTGGCCTGGGTCTGCAGCACCTCAGAGCCTGCCATAGAAACTGTCTGAATATCTGAAAAACAGTTTAAAAAGTTTCAGGGTATGCTTCTAATACTTGATTTTGTCAGATTTGCTTTTTTGTAGAAAAGACGTTGTTTTGGCCTTTTTAAAATGAAGTTTTGGTGTCTTTTTTTTTGTTTTGTTTTCCCTCTCTTCATGTGTATGAGGGGCCTTCCAGATTCATGCACATTGACCATGACCATGTATGTGCCTGGTGCCCCCAGGGATCAGAAGAGGGTGATAGACCCCCCTCTCAGTGGAGCCACAGACTCGGTCAAGTCATCACGCAGGTGCTAGGGCTCAAACTGGGGTCCTCCGCAAGAGTAGCAGTGTTCTCAGCTGCCAGACCATCCTCCTGCCTACTAACCATAACTTTTTGAGCAGACGGTTTCCCTCATTGCTTCATTCACTGTGCGTCACTGGCTTTCCAGACTGTGTGAGCAGGCGCACAGCTCATGGTGATAGTCTCTCATGGGCCTAACTACACAGTAGGATGGTTGTTCTGGAGGGCAGTGCAAAGAGGCTTATGGGAAGGTTCTGCTGAGGGTGTGGAATGTTTGCAGGGCGTAGGGAAGGTACCAGGCACGCACGAGGCCCTGGATTCAGGCCCAGCTCTTCAGGGATAGCCAATGAAGGTGGAATTCTACCGGATTGCAGATAGAGTTCTGTGTGCTGTAAAATACTCCAGTCTCAGACAAATATTAGTATCAACAGTCTCTTTAAGGAATATTATTTTGGATAACTAGCAGCTCACTCTTTGTACCATATTTTAAGGTAAACTTTGAGTCATTCCGTATACGAACTGTCACATGGCGACTGATCTGTGCATCCCTAGTAAAATATAAAATGTAAAAGACTGAAATTGTACATACAGATTCAAAAGCTGTGGCATGGGCAGACTGTTGTTTAACTCTAAGTACATTTCTATTTGAATTCATAAAGTTTGGTTTCATTTTTGCTAAATAAAACTGGAATTTATGGACTCAGTTAAAGACCTGTAACCGTTTTGTAACTGTTGCTTCAATTTAGGGTCATGCAAGACAGACGGGAGCAGGCGAGGCAAGACCTGAAGGGTCTGGAGGAGACAGTGGTGAGGACATAAGGGGCACAGGAGGACTGGGGTGCGGTGTGGGTTTCTGTGTCTTCGTCACTGTGAATGTAACCGAATGTCTATTCACTCCAGGCGAAGGAGCTGCAGACTCTGCACAGCCTGCGCAAGCTCTTCGTGCAGGACCTGGCCACCCGGGTGAAGAAGGTGACGCAGCGCGTGCGCGTAGCCTTGTGCTGGCTTTGTGTGGTGCTCTTTCCTTAAGTCTTTGTATTGGTCGTGCCTGCGTGCGTCTTGTTCTGTCCGTGTGTGTGGAGGAAGCTCGGGTGCTTTGGTTGTTACACTTTCTCACTGCTTTTCCGCCGTCCTCCTCAGAGCGCCGAGGTTGACTCGGACGACACAGGCGGCAGTGCGGCACAGAAGCAGAAAATCTCCTTCCTTGAGAACAATCTCGAACAGCTCACCAAAGTGCACAAACAGGTACTGAGAGAGCACGCGCGGTGTGGCGGCAGTGCTAGATGGCGTGAGGGTGTAGGAAGCTCGTGCCCGTCCAGAGCCTGGAGCCCTGTGCCCTGTGGCTCTCCCGGCAGTTACGCAGAGGTGGGCGCTGTCGGGGAAGCTGACATTGTAGTTTTTGGTTTCTGTGCCTGGGTCTTGCTCTTCCTCAGCAGTCCTGCCTCTGCTTCCTGAGTGCTGTCATTACGGTATGAGCTACCATGCCCAGGTGGGGAGCCAGTGCTTTTATCAAAGCTGTTAGGAAACAAAGCCTAAGAAAAGTATGAAAAATGATTTGCTGTGGAATTGAAGGTGAAATTTGTTACTTTGCTAGGCAACCTCTTGTAGTTAAGGCACAGTCTTTTCCTTTGTTGATCTTTTTGCCCATAATCTGAAATACATAATGTAATATACTAAGCAGTTCATATTTTTAAAGGAACACATCTATCTTGCTAATTTTTAAACATAGACCTTTGTTACTGCCAACTGAGGGCTCTCACCAGTGTGAAGTTAAGACTTTCAGCTTTACTAGTGTGTTTCCTCAGGCTGTTGGTCCTGCAGAGCAGCTGGAGACTTGGCGCAGTAGAGAGTTTGCCTAGGATGCACGAAACCCTGGGTTCAGTGGCCAGCACCCCATAAAAACTGCTCACGTATACATGCAATTCCCTGGGGCATAGAGACCGGAGAATCAACCTTCGCTACCTGAGTTGGAGGCCATCTGGGAGACACAAAACCCTGTCTCGGGAATGTACCCAGGGGGGAGGTTGCGTTACCATCTAAGTGTGTAACTGCAGGAAACTCTGTGTACCGGCGCCATGTTCTACTCCATCGTTCACCTAGGTGCAGAGGGATTGCGGTCCAGTCCAGTGCATAAAAACGAACAGGGCTGGGATGGTCTGTTGGGAGAGTGCTGGCTTGGCCTGCAGGACACCCTGGCCTCTGCCCTCAGCGTCACAGAAGCCTCGTGTGCTGACATGGCTCTAATCCCAGCGCTCAGGAGGCAGAGGCAGTGCCAGCACTCTCATAGAGTTGGTGTGAGGCTATTGTAGGCGGCTGTCTCAGAAGGTAGCTGCACCAGCTTTGTGGGAGGTGTGTCTGACAGGTGTACATTCCTGCACAGTGCTGCCCACGTGGGAAAGCTCAACAGAAAATGTAGTTTTCCTTTGCTAAACTGCAGTCATAAAATACTCAGTTTCTTAAATCATCTCATTAAAAGCTGTTCATATTTTCTTGGTAAACTTCAGTTAGTACGTGACAATGCAGATCTTCGCTGTGAGCTTCCCAAGCTGGAGAAACGGCTGAGAGCAACTGCCGAGAGAGTGAAAGCTTTGGAGTCAGCCCTGAAAGAAGCCAAAGAAAATGCATCTCGAGACCGCAAACGCTATCAGCAGGAAGTAGACCGGATAAAGGAGGCGGTCAGGTCAAAGAACATGGCCAGAAGGGGCCACTCAGCGCAGATTGGTGAGTAGAACACACACTCCCAGGGAGCTTGGCAACACCTGTCTCCTCTGTCGAGCTGTCAGGGCGGGCAATTCCTGTCTAAATTACTAAAGAGTGATGCTATTGGGAAAGAAGGTAGAAACTGAGAGATAGCCATTCACTGTCAGGTAACTAACTAAAAAAAAACCTAGATAGACAGAGGCCAGGAGAGACTGTCTAGGTAAAACCACCCAAGCAAAAGAGAGTTTCCGGAAAGGCCAGATGGCAGCGGCAGTTAGTTGCTCATGCCTCAGAATAGTTATTGGTGCAGAAGAAAGACGAAGAGCTTGTAGGTGGCAGCACTCCCGCGCGAGCTGATGGCTGTAGTTTGATCTCTCAATCCCACAGTGGGAAGAGAACTGACTTTGGAAAATTGCCCAGCTGTGAGTTGCAGGCCAGCCTAGTCCGTGCAGAGTTGTTCTAGGGAAACCAGGGCTCCGGAACAGAACTCGGGAACGGGGAGTGGCTAGAGAAGCCTGAGACAGCAGTGCTGTCGCTGCAGCCTTCTAACCCCCTCTTTGTCTCACAGCAAAGCCCATCCGGCCTGGACAGCACCCCGCAGCCTCTCCGACGCACCCAGGTGCTGTCCGTGGAGGAGGAACCCTTGTGCAGAACAACCAGCCAGTGGCGCTTCGAGGTGGCGGAGGCAAGCAGGCGTGAACGTGGCACAGCGCAGGTGCGGGTGCACGCCGGCTTTTGAGTTGTAGCTGTGTGTGGAAATGCTGAGCTCCCGCTTGGGATTTGAGTTTCACGTTAGGATCGAGAGTCTGCTTTCAATGTGTGGTTTTAGGAATGCAACTTGGCGTGGTTTCTTACAGATTCAGATAATCTAGATTTTCAGTTTTATGTTTTCAAAACTCACATTGGGTCATTTATAATAGTTCTTTTTATCCTACCCAATGGGTGTGTCCTAGTTCATCATCCTCCCTTTACTAGAAATTTAATAAAACACTTTAACTTTGTTCTGAAATTGAAACTTCTTTAAATGAAATTTAAAATGTCTTTATACTACCTCATTCTCCAAACTGGAATACCAAGGCATGAACATTTTTAAGGCTCTTACAATTTGTTCCTAGAAAGACAGCCTAAATTGCATCTTCATAAAAATTAGCATTTGTTGCATCCTTGCCAGCACTGACTATTAATAGTTCATAAGCTTCTAATTTGATGGGCCCAAAATAGTATCTGATTGGTTTCTTAAATGAAGGTGGACTTTATCTGTGTAGGCACAAGTATGCAGAATGGAGGATAACTGGGAAAGCCGTTCTCCTTCCACCATATGGGTCCTGGGATCAAGTTCAGGCTTGTCTGCTTCTGGCAAGAAGATAGAATGGCATTTGAGGACTTTCTTTAGTCTATGCTGCAACTTCAAATTTAAAAGTTCCAGAGATAACAGACACCATGGGATACTTGATAGGGTTTTAATTAGTGATCCGCTCCACACTTTGCCTGATAGTTGATGACACATTGCCACAAGTCTGACTGTACTGCAGAGGTGCCAGAGGAAATGCTGGAGCTTTAACATACCAGGTAACGGAGATGGCTAACCCCTCCTGCTTCTGGGAAATGCCAGGCCTCATGTATTTTAATTCTGCTTGATCTTGTTTGACACTTTGCATAGCGCTGCCTCTAACTCTTGGGTAGAGATTAAAGCAATAATCTGTAGAGGTTAAAAAGTAACACTGTGTGTTTCCTCTTAAAGTCGGAAGTTCCAAGTGTCAGCCTGGCTTTGTCGCATTGGAGAGCCTGAACAAAGTAAAGGGCTAAAGTCAGCTCTTTCTGGGCTGGGGACTTGGTTCAGTCAGTTTGCCAAGTGAGTGCTGCCACTGAGGCGTGAGGGCCCACGTAAGAGCTAGACACGGAAATACACATCTGTAAACCCAGCTTCCGGGAGCAGGAATCCCTGGAGCTCACTGGACAGCCAGCTAGTAAACCAGAAAGTTCCAGGTTCAGTAGGAGACGTGTGTCAAAAACATACAGCAGTGAAGTAAATGACCTCTCTCTGGCCTCTCTACACACAAACTACATACATATAACACACACATACACACACACAGGAAAAGTTAACCCATTCTTCGAGTCCATTTAAAATTCAATATAAAAATAAGTTGTGGATCCACAAAAAAATAGCTTTATTGTGCACCTATAATAAGTCATTCATACCTAACAAATTTAATATGTATAAATACTAATTCATACCCAAACTTGGGTCTCTCTTGTGCCTCTCTCGGGGTACTGGGGCTTTGCCTTACTAGTTAAGTGTTGTGCCACCCAGCTGTCCCCCAAAACCCTTCTCTATTTCTTGTTAACATCCTGTGTAGCTACTTTTTCTAAACCAGGGCATGATCTAGGACTTTTTAGTTTTTTCGCTGTAAATTTCTTTTTTTTGTTGTTGGGCTTTTTGTTTGTTTGGTTTGTTGTTTTTTGTTTTGTTTTGTTTTTTGTTTTTGAGACAGGGTTTCTCTGTATAGCCTTGGCTGTCGTAGACTCACTTTGTAGACCAGGCTGGCCTTGAACTCACAGAGATCCACCTGCCTCTCCTTCCCTGAGTGCTGGGATTAAAGGCGTGTGCCACCGCACCCGGTCTTAAATTTCTTTTAATCTAGACCATACCTTTCTCTACGCTTTTAGTGACAGTGACTTAGCAAGGACATCTCATATCATGACTGTATGCTGCCTCCTTCTGGATGTGTGTAGTTATGTGTTTAGTTACTTGTTCCTTTATCCATTGTGTATTTGTTTGTTTTGAGTCAGGGCCTCCTTGTGTATTTTGGTTTGCCTGGAGCTTGCTATGTAGACCTGGTGCTGGGAAAAAGGTGTGCCACCATGCGCATAGTGCAAACATTTTTGGTGAGCCATATTATCATGACAAAGGAGATAGTGAGAGGTGCTCCCAAACACTCCATGTCCTCTCTCTGCCCACTTTGGACTAATAACTGACTTCAGCCCCTTTTATTAGGAAGATGGAAACAGTTCCTGAGAATTCCAGGAGTCAGGAAATCATCCTGCAGCACAGTCTTTAACTACACGGAAACTGCTCCTTCTGCCTCCCAAGAGGTGGGCGTTGTGGAGCTGAGCTTATCTGTGGATGTTGCTTTCATGTTAAAATTCACACATAAACTTTGAACTCACATGCATAGAGTAGACCATGAGCTCACTAAATGCATAGAGCTCATGTATGTAGCAGTGGTGTTTCACATACAGGGGAGATAAGCTAGCTCAGGTGAGCAAAAGATTTATTTAAGAAGTATAATTGTTTCTGGTTTGTTGCATTGGTGGATCAAAGGACAGTCATTTGTTTAAACTTTTTTTCTTTTAAAATTATGTATGTATGTATGTATGTATGTATGTATAGTGCCCAAGAGGCCAGAGAAATCAGTCACTCAGGAACTGGAATTACAGACAGCTGTGGACCACTGAGAGGGTGCTGGGTGTGACCTGGGGTTCTCTGCAAGAACAGCAAACACTGTGACACACTGATCATCTCAGCCTTTTCATTTCTTCACCAGTGTGTCTTAACTGTTTGGGGAATAAACTGTTGAAAAGTAAATACCCTGAACATAGTTTTTTAATTACTTTTTAAATGTTAAGAAAAACATGGATTTAGAGAAATGATGACAGTTATTAATAGTGTTTAATACCTTTTATTTCTAGTTTTACATAGCCAAGCTTCTGTCACAGATTTTTTTTAAGATTTATTATGTATGCAATGATCTGCCTGCGTGTGTGCTCGTACACCAAAAGAGGGCACCAGAGCTCATTACAGATGGCTGTGAGCCACCATGAGGGTGCTGGGGATTGAATTCAGGACCTCTGGAAGAGCAGCCAGTGCTCTTACCCTTAGAGCTATCTCTCCAGCCCTGTCAGGTAGGTTTTTAAGGAGCACAACTTAAAGATAGTTGGTATGTGTGTCGAGGGTATGTCTGTAGACCCGCAAGTGCCGGGCGTGTTTGTGGAGACCAGAGGTCAATAGTGGGGTCGGTTTTTGCCTCCCACCTTGTTTGAGACAGGGTTCTTCTGCACATCCGACTAACTGTCCTGACAGCCCCAGACATTCTCTTGCAGATCTAAGAGCATAGATTAAAGGTTTGCACTTGTGCAGTGCTTCCTGTGGGTTCTGGGGTCCCACAGTCAAGTGAGTGCTTTCACCCAGTGGCGTGCCTCCCAGCTCCTCCTTCCTTTCAGTTAGGTCGTCTGTATTTTCAACTAACCGCTGCTAGTTAATGCTCCTTGATTTAAGACTCTCATATGTTTACTGCTTAGAGATTGACACACCTGCTCCTCCCCCCTTCTCCATGCTACCTGTACTCCTCCCCGAAAACTCATGGCAAACCTCCTGCCTCATACCTCCGACTCCAAAGTTACAAGTTTGAGCCACCATGGCCAGCCGTGTTTTCTTCATTAAACAGAGTTAGTCTGTATCCCTCCACCCACAGCTTTATTGCAGAGATGAAAAGTGGTGGCCGACCTTGTAGGCACTGCCCTGCTCAAGAACAGGTAGAAGATAGTAAAAGACAGATCAGGAGCTGGAGAGATGAGAGTGTTTAAGAGCCGGGCTGCTCCTGCAGAGGACCCAACTTTGGTCCCTGTTACCCACACAGTGGTTTACAATCACCTGTAACTCCAGTCCCCGGGAATCCCTCTTCCAAACGCCATGGACGCCAGGCAGTTGTGTGCTGCATGTATATCATGCAGACGAGACGGTTATGCACATAAGATTAATCTAATTAAAAGGATTTTTAAAAGAAATTATTTGTTTCATTATTATATCAAACATGAGTTTTATAAAAACTAAGAGTTTTCTCTGCTTTCTCCTATTTCAGGTGTTGAAAAGTAACTGAAGTTTGAAGAGGACATAAAATCAGTCTTTCAATAACTATAACCTCTACCCCCCTGGGATTGTAGAAATTTACATTGTTGATGTGTAAATTACTCCTAGCCTGTACAGCTCTTTCCTCCCCACTCCTGTAAGCCCTGCTGCTTCCCAGCACTGGAGCGCCCTGCTGATATCCTGGCAGGGGATGACGGTTCAGCCTGTTCGTTACTCCTCGTCTTTGGTGTCTTCACTGTGCCGACTGACCATTTATAGGACCTCGCTCCTTGAGGTTGCCTTCTCTGTGTGTTTGGATCTTGTTTACATTACCTAGCTGCTATTGCTCTTCATTGTCCTTTTCTACTAAAACATCTTCCTTTTTTTTTTTTTTTTTCTTTAAGGAAATATGGAAGCTTTAGATTAAATGTCTTAAATTTTACCACTTTCAGCACTACATGCCACAGAATATGTCAGGTCAGTCAGTACTGTATTTTTTAAAGCCCTTAAGCAGGGTGTGGTGGCATACATCTTTAATCCAGGCAGAGGCAGGTGGGTGTCTGTCAGTTCAAAGTCAGCCTGCTCTACATGGTGAGTTCCAGGACAGCCAGGGCTACGTAGGGAGACCCTGTCTCAGAAACAGAAGTAAAAAGTTAATTAACTGAAACATGACGAGAATCCCTTGGAGTGAAATCAGGGCTTGTGTCCCTGGTGTGGTGTCTTGGGTAGGCCTCTGGCTGTTTGCTCCTGAATGCCTGTTGCACATTACTGTGACTAGAAACACTTCATACATGAGAGGAAGTCTCACGGTAAGGCTGTCTGGAAATGACGGTGTCCCCTCTAGTTCTGCACTTCAGCATAGCCTCGTGGGCCAGCAGGGCCCTGCTTCGCTGTTACACCTGCCTGCTAAAGGAGGAATTGGAAGATGCTAGTGTCATCTTTAATATTAGGAAAGAAATGGATTAAGACATTGTAGAATTAAACATTTTTAACTGTTAAATAACTATAGGCTGGCATAAATTTATAGCCTTTGAAAATTGAGACAATTGTCAACAGGACAGAAACTAAACTTAAAACTACATGGTTTGATTTTTCTCTGAAGTCTTGAAGGCAGTTTCCACCTACACTGTGTCATACACTATAATTTGCGTAGTTAGGAATAGTAAATTGTTTGCAAGTCACTGATTCAAAAAAAAAAAATTATATTCTTGGCCATAGTGCATAAATTTTAAATTAGAACTAAGTGTGTACCTATTTTGCCACTTATTTTTCAGATGATTAAACTCAATCAAGTACATTTTAAGGATCTATGAAAGTAGCAGGGAAAGATTTCACCATCTGCTTCCTCAGTGCTGGGGTAGCTGAAGCCCTGTTAGCAGAAATCACAGGAAATGGGCTGACTGAGGTTATTCGGTTAGGAGAGAAGCTGTGGAGGTTCTGGGTTAGAATCTGGCTGGCAGAACCTTTGGAAAGTTTTATATACAGATATTTGTATTATTAAATTTGGAGCCATAGTCAGAAGACTCAGATCTTAATTGGCTTATTTTTCTATTTCCTTAACTATTGTAATTTCCACTTTTATAATAATTTTGGTTTGAAAAATAAATTTATTTATTTTTTTAACAGTCAAAATCTTTGCTGTTGTAGTATGCAGCCTTTATGATTGTGTTGCTTCTATGACTGACTGAAACACTCCACAAGCCGAAGTGAAACCTTGATGCAGCGAGGTGGGAGTCGTGGTCAGTGAGAGGCCCAGCCCTGTGGGCATCGCGGTCTCTGTGACAGGCAGGGCTGCATTCATAAGGACATTTTTCCAAATGAAAACTCGCTTCTTTGGCAGTTTTCATAATGGAAAAAAAAATTCTCTTTTGTCTGAAGACAGTAATTTCAAGATGTATCATGGGTATTGGTGCTGTGTAACACACAATGAATTGTAACTAGCATGTGGTTAAGAAAACACAGTTAGGTTTTTTAAATTTTAATGTTTCTTTTCTATTTATGATTTCAAACTTTCATAAAGTGTACTAAGAATTACATAAATTTCTTTTCAGTGAACTAAACTGCTCTTTTTGCTATGATAGGTCATTAAATATAGCATTCACTCAAAATGGACATTTTTTATCATCTAGAATATTGAAAATATTTTAATTTGCAGTGTCTTTTTTGTGACTGGATATATTAATGTCCCTCTGAGTGGTATTGGTAATTGGTTCAGAAGAGAAACTCAGTGAAATAAGAGTAGTATTTATTCATGGTGATTCATTAAATTATTTGCCTAACTTAAGGAAACTAACTACTATGCATAACTGAATTTATTTGCAACTCTCAGTTTGATTTGAGGTAACAGAAGAGAGTCTACCTGTGGACTATGTTGCTTTATTTTCAGCACTTAGGGTTACAGTCAACATAAGTGGTTTGGGAAGACATATAATTTTAAGTTAACCTGCATGCTGTAAATGTGTTTCAATAAAGGAAAATCTTTTTGAAGTGTACTGACATTTTTGAGCTGTGTTGTGAAGATTTTTATGTAACTGAGTGGCCTGCCCTGATAGAATAGAGTGTGTCAGTGTGTTTCTTCCAGCATCAGATAGGCTGAAAGTGAGGACCTAGAAAGCCTCAGTCTTATGTTGGTTATGTTCCTATTATTTTGCATCATTCATCTGTGTCTGTCTTAGCAACAAGTAGTTGCTTCTGAATTCAAGTGGGCTTGAATTTTGGTGTGTGTCTTTAGAACTATTGTAGGAAGTTTTAATCCTAGAATAGAATAAACAGTTAGCCTCTAAGTAACTGCCGCTGGGTTTTCAACAGCTCCTACTTCATCATTTTGTCTGTAACCCTAATTGTCCATAGTATTTTAAAGGTGTTTTCAAGGTGATGTTAGTGACTGCTTTTTAATGGTTAAAAACACCTGAAAGCATACTGTACTGCAAAGGTAGGAATGATGGAGCGTGCCCCTGATGTCAGACCCCGGAAGCAGAAGCAAGAGAGGATCTTGGGTTCAAGGCTAGCCTGGGCTATATGCTTGTCTTAAAAAGAACACACACCAAATACTGTTATCACACCAAAACAAATAACTTCTTAAGCAGATTTTTATAGTTTTTGTAAGAAGCTTGTCTGGATCAAGATGCAGTTAAGGACCATATCTCGGAGAACCCTCTTGTGTCTCTTACTTTCCCCTGAAGTTAATTTATGAGGAAAGCAGGCTGCCGTAGTTCCCCACATGCTGCTGGTCACAACCCTTGCATATTTAATGTTGCGCTACGGTGTGTGCTTTCTGTACACTTGGGTTGGGTCCACTGGGATTCAGGTATTTTGTTTCACTACACGGGAGCTTACCTCACTGGTGGTGCTCCTGGTGTTTGGCCAGGTCTCTCGTGTGGGGTAGCGAGCACTTGAGAATGTCACGATGGTCCACTTCTGGAGGAGTCCTGAATGGCAGTGCTGTTCGCAGCTTTTCTTCCTCCTCGGTGACCAGTTGGTGGTTTGCACGTGCGTGTATACACACACACAAGAATGGAGGCGTGAGACCCACCCCCGGCGTCTTCCTCAATCACATTTTTTATTTTATTTTTGGAGGTGGCCAGGGCCTCACTGAACCTGGAGCTCACCAGTTCATCGAGGCAGCAAGCTCCGTCTCCCCAGTTGCCAAGCGCTTTTCCAACTGAGCCAACTTCCCAACCCTGGTTCTGGCTTTTAGGGGCTGCATGAACCATCAGGTTTCCTTTCTGAAGAAATGTGAATGTAAACAAAGTTTCCAGACAAAATCACAACTAGTCTTAAGTCCAGAGTTGGGAGGGGTGGTGTTTGTGCAGGTGTGAGCCTACAGTCAGTAACAAGCTGGGGAGAGGAGATCCTGGGTTAGTAGCTAAGTGATGGGAGGGACCATGGTCATTTCATTCAGGTAGTTGAGCAGGAGGGCCTAATGTTCCCAGAGTGGTGGGCCTAACCGACAAATCCTTAACCTCAGCCATGAGAACCCTTGGCTCCGTTCTGTCTTGGACAATTCTAGAGGTGTACTCAACAAAAATTTGCATTGCATTGTTTTTTGAGAGCTAAGTTTTTTTTTCACTTTGGCTACAGAAAATTAATTTTCTGTTTAGATATTGATGGTGGAAAAAAACTTGGATAAAGCAGGAGCTGGGATTGCTCAGTTGGTGGGGAGGACTGGAGTTCCCAATAACCACATAAGAAGCTGGGGACCTAGGCTTGACGGCACACACTTTTTTTTTTTTTTTTTTAATGTACATTGGTGTTTGATTGCATGTATGTCTGTGTGAGGGTGTCGGATCCCGAGTCTTCTGGAAGAGCAGTCAGTGCTCTTAGCCGCTGAGCCATCTCTCAACCAAGGACTATGCATGGAAATAACCTAAGACACCTACACAGAGGTAGCCCATGGCAGTTCAGTAACCAAGTGGGTTCCATTGTAATAGGAACAGGGACTGTCTCTGACATGAACTGATTGGCTGCACTTTAATTACTTCCCCCTGAGGGGGAAGCAGCATTACCAGGCCACAGAAGACAATGCAGCCACTCCTGATGAGACCTAATTTACTAGGATCAGAAGGAAGGAAAAGAAGACCTCCCCTATCAGTGGACTTGGGGAGGGACATGCATACAGAGGGTAGAGGAAGGGAGGGATTGGGACAGAAGGAGGGAGGGAACCACAGGGGGGATACAAAGTGAATAAAGTATAATTAATAAAGAATTAAAATAAAATATTTTTTAAAAAAAGGTGGGCACCTAAAGAGATGGCTCAGTGGTTAGAGCACTGGCTGCTCTTTCTCAGCACCCACATGGCAGCTCACAGCTGTAACTCCAGTTCCAGGGGATCACCATCCTCACGTAGACACGCGCAGGCAAAATGCCAGTGCACAGTTTTTCCAAAGCTTCATTTAATGCCATATGCTTGTAATCCAGTCCCAGGAAGGCTAGGAGACTGATCCTGATCAGTCTCCTAGCCTCCTTTCCCGAGGTGGACTACTGTGTCCCCCCGGGAACTATGAGCCCAAGTAAAGTTGCTCTTGTCACAGCAGCAGAAATAAAGCTCACAGGTGATTCTAGGGCATGCCATTTGCTCTTATCTATGAATACACACACACGAATTTCCTAAACTTTCTGCCGAAGTGGGTAGTGGGGTTTCCTGTGCTGCATGACAGAGTTTCCCTTGTGACTCCAGTTGGTTTTCAGTGTGTACCTTCTCCGTGCCCTTCTTTCTGTGGGCCTGGCTGTCTGAGCTGGCATTCTAACATTCTTGCCTGGTACAGTAGTTCCACTGACATTCATTTCCTTTAGCTTTTGTCTAAGAAACACTGTCCTTTCCGTGCTGAGGCCAGACTGGGGATCTGTGCTGTTGTAGTTCTTCAAAGTGTCTTCTAACAGCCAGGCTGGCTTCAGTGCAGTGATTCCCCTGCCTCTGCCTCCCATACCTGACCACATCTGTCTGTGTTAATTTGGGGGATCTTGGTTGTTGCCGTTGATACGCCTTTCCTGCTGCTACATTGATGCCTTTTTAACTGTTTAGGTTCTTAGATTCAGTCCTTGACCCTTTCGTTTGTGGAACTATGACTGTTGGGGTTGCCACCTCGGTAGCCTCTCTCTGTTTTCCGTGTTGTCCCATTTCCCGTCAGAACTCTGTGTCCATCACACATTTTCTGTTTTGCTATCATTTGTTTAGAACACAGTCTCATGAAGTCCAAGCCATCCTCAAGCTCTTTGTGTGAATGCTTGTTTTTTTAAACTATTTTATTTGGGGTTCCTTACAGCCTCTCTATTCCAGCCCTAGGTAGGAGAGGGGGTCCTGGGGAAAGGGGGCACAGACCCCTTTACTTCTCCCTGCTGTTTAGAGTCGATGGGTTTTTTTAGGGCTATACCATTCTCCATCACAGCAAATGCAGCCAGCAGGCTCCTAGGCCGCTGCACCCCGAGGCGTTTCTGTCTGCTCTGAACTGCCACTCCTCTGTTGCTGGTCTCTCCAAACTGCCACTTGCCACACTCCACCAGCACATGCCACACTCTTTCTGGGGTCTCATATTTATAACCTCCAAGCCCGGCCACAACCCTCTCCGTGCTGCACAAGCCCAGGAGACAGTTCTCAGCTGTGGACAAACTAAAGCCCAACTAAAATTGCACCAAGTTTCTCGCACTCTGATTGCAAGATGCTGAATGGCCTCTTCTGAAGTTTAATCTAGAGAGGAAAGGTCGGGGCTGTGTAACGAAGGCTTCTTCAGAATCAGGCCGGATGAGAGCAAACCATGAGGCTCAGGCTGTGCGACATTTGCGCTCGTTTGCTGTGGCCATGCAAAAGTAACTCGTTTTTCTAGATTCTTGCCCTACTCACCCCAGGAAGGGAGGCCCTGAAAGATGCTTATCTATCTCCCGATACTCTTAACTCGCTGAGTTTCGCCTCCTGCTCCTGACAACTACCAACGATGAACCAAAATGGAAAGGAAAATGTCCCCTTCCACCCATCCCAGGCTGCGCGTGCAGCACAGCTTTGGGCTCCTGGCCGAGGGCGCTCCTCCAAAGGTCTCTCTCCACATAAATCCCCGATGCTGAGCTCCTTGCCTGTCCTGCTTTCCTTCACGTCAACTCCACAGTGACTGTTATCTTTCTGGATACAGGTTCTAACTTGTACCTCTCGTTGGCCTCAAACTTGCTGAGTAGCCCAGGTTGGTCTCAAACTTGCATCAGTCTCTGGCTCAGCCTCCCCAGTGCTGTGATTCTATCTGCCATCATACCCATCTGGACATTACTCAGCGAACAAGCAGCTATTGGAAGGATGTCTTCCTTTAAATGAGTGCTTCCAGATTTTCAGGCTCGGAAAGAAATGTATCTTAGTTACCTATGGTAAAGACACAGTACAGTACTGGCCATCGGGGCCGCTTCTGAGCACGCCATGTGCTGGAAGGAGTCTGGCCCCCACCCCCGGGGCGCCCGGGGCCACGGTGTGCGTGTGTGGGGCTGAGGTAGGTATTTCAGGAGCCACTTCCCTCTCTCTGCCATGGCCCAGGGATGGAGCACAGGCCGTCAGGCTAGGCAGCAAGTGCCTTTACCCACCGGCCATCTCTCCAGCGCCACTAATATCCTTGCCACGGTGTCCTTCATGATCCAAGGCAAAATATTTACTTAGAGCTTTCTGTTTATGTTAGGCTGCCTGAGGAGTCTTGATACTACGTCATACATTCAGACTGTTCTTCCATGGGTAGAGTTAAAATCTATTTAAGAAACCGGCATTTCCCACCACTCACTTCGCAGCCCTTTGAAAGGGAGCCAGCACAGCAAAGTCTGAGCACCCCATCGCCCACTGTTTCTTGAGGCAGACGGGATGCCACCAGCGTGAGCCACATAGAATCACCCCATTAGCATCTGTGATATATCATTTTCCCTCTGAACAAAACATTCGGCGCACAGTTCTGCTGTACAATGAAAAGAATTGTGCACAGACTCCTTCTCACTGCTCTAAAAATGAACTTTTGTTTTACGCAGATGTGGG